AATAAACAGTGCTGTTCCTAAAGTGACGCTGTGAAACAGTAACAAAGCCTACCCAGAACATTAGGCTAATAATCTTAGTAGTTAATGCCGATGACACCAAATTAAAAGTTAAAATTATATTTTTCTCAAAGTGTGGCATGGTTCTGTATAAAACATTGAAAATTGTGCAGTATTTTTCGTTGATTTCGACTTCCTATAGGTAGGTATTTATAAATAAGTACCTAGGTACTTATAAACATAGAAACTTAGCAATTTGGTTTGCTTTGTATTGCGGTCACGATGAATGACATTGTCATTCATCGTAAGAACTTTGACATTGAATTTTTATCGAGTAGGCTCTGGTCAATTTACCTGTCACTTTCCGCCATTTAGTGAAAAATGATCAATTAATATTAGAGACCTGAGGGCTATTTTTGAAACCTTTGAAATTTAGTTACTACGTCGCATTATGAGCAATTTTTTTTTCTAAACTGTATCTATATCTATTAAAAAAAACCTCTAAATATTTAAGCTTAAGAATATATCAAGAAATTTTGAGCGTTCAAAGTAGGTAAGTTACTTTTATTCGCATATTTATCCCAAAATCTCGCTTTTTGGACATTCATCTTTTTTCCTTTTCCTCATTTTAAATTATTTACGATGTTATTACAAAAATAAAGACGTGACACACCAGCGAATTCTTTCGGACTGTCACTGGGTCGTTTCTTTTATATTCAAATGATTAACACAGTTGTAATACATAGAAGCGAAGGTCATGAGGAGATTGCATCTCTAGCATAGCAAAGCGAGTCATGCAGTGAAGAAAAGAGTTAAAAGTATTCAAGCTCGGAGTGGGCAGTCATACCAAACTCGATTCGATCGAATACCTACCTACCTACTACGTAGGTATGCCCAGATAGATATTTACAACAGAGGAAAAACAGCCATGGTTGGCGTACCTTAACGGTACGACAAAACCAGTGAATCTACGAGTATACTAATAATGTAATAAATAACGTATTTCTTAAATGAAACCTTGTTATTAATGTGCCATCATTTCATTGTCGTTAATTAAAAAATTGCACTATATTATTTAGAAGTTTCATTTCCACCTTATATTTTTAAAAAGAAATCCAGTATTATTTGATTTTTATATGATCAAAATTCATTCACTTTGTATCAAATTTATATCTTTATTCTTTTATTTATTTGATTTATTCTTTGATTTATCTAATAACATGAACAGGTTACATTCATAATAAAAACATTGACGTGTTGTTTTTAATAATTGTGATCATGATTCACGAAAAAAAATAATGAGCAATTACCTATATTTTTTAATGGATAACCAGTTAGTTGAAAATGCATACCAATTTGATTTATTAATAAAACGATTGGTATTAAGATTTGTTCGAGTATTTCCTACTTGGTTCCAATATGTAAACAAGTCACGATTTTGATGAGAGTCTCGTGAAACAAATATAAAGAATACCCAACAAAGAAATCGTTGTTATATGGACAGGTATTCCTTCTGGGTGGATATGCGTACTTCCTGTAATCTGACAGGTATCGTCGTCTGTAGTTACTCATAGGTAATATTGAATTTTTGGAGGCAATGACACTGTATCTATGCCTAATGTTATTTTTTGTTACGATAGAAAGAGGAAAAGGAAATGATAGTCTAAAACTCTGAAGAATAACAATATGTTTTTGGTTCGAATAATTTTGAATGACAAGCTAATACTTGCAAGATTTTTTCATTAAATTTTGATTGCAACTTTTACACTTAACCACAAAAAATTAACCTTTAACCTACCGGTTTTTGCAACCAGTTGTTTGGTCGGATAGTTAAAGTTAGACCCAAGTAGGGTCAGAAATAGTCCGAATATGTCCGAATTTTTATCGTTTTGTCCGGAATATGTCGGGAATTATAAATTGCCCGGAATTTTCAGGAAAATTGGTAAATTTTACGAAAAGTGAATTAGCTGACATGCATTTTACTTGTGGGCTTGCTTACGAAGCCAGACAGAAATACCAAAAGCGGTATCCAAATCGCGTACTACTTGATCCGAGAACATTTTCTAGGATTCACAGACGTCTACACGTGACCGGAACTTTAAAAGTAGACCCAAGGGCTAAAGGAGTCCGTCAAACAGTAACAACACCGAAACTTGAAAAAATAATTTTATATGAAATTGAGTAGAACCACGAAACTAGCATGAGGAAAATCGTGGCGACATTTAATGTTTTGTGGTGGCATTTGAAAAGCTTAGTGTACTCAGTGCCGATTGAAACAGAAGAAGAGTTACGAAATCATATATTAGTATGCTGCCAAACCATAAGAAACCCCAGAAATCTTTGAAAATGTGCGACAGTCTATCTATACAAAGAAGAGTAGATGCTTGTGTATGTAATATACGTGTGGGTGGAGGACACTTCAAACAATTACTGTAAATAATTTGGATTTTTTATTTTGTTTGTATTCTCTTTTCATTTCGCTTTAGATTTACGATTTTGAATTTATCATTTTACTAAATGAATCGCAATTTTTAAAATATAATTTAAAAACTCAGGCATGCCGTTTTCTCTCTCCAAACATTCAATATAATACCTACGTGGACGTCACTGGGGTGAGAAAAAGAATACATTTTGGGTGCCTACCAAATGCCAGAAAAATATCAAAAGCTGTTTCAATGATATTAAGAATTTTTTTTACGCGAAGAAAGTGAGTCGTACGAAAGTCTATGGACCAGATTTGCTCCAAAATAAAAGAGGAAATATTTACAAAAAAGTGTCATCAGGACTTCACTCGGAAAAGAAACGTTTTCGGACCTACGTTTATATGAACTTTTACTCCTGTTTTAGGATGTAGATTATGCTGTTAAAATTCGAACGTCTAATTTCGGGACACCCTGTATATGGTCTACAATTTATTTTCGTTTTCGAAAACCAGGCTGGTACTCTCAAATATCTGTTGTAATCTTTATTTATTATTGCTATTATCTTGTATGTTACGTTTAGTAGAGCAATCCCTCTATATTTCTCGCATTTTTTTAGCATCTCCTTTTTTTACCAACGATTGAATAATGGTCTGATTTCAACTATTTACAATGTACTCTTTTTCCCATATTTCTAACACTATAATTATGTTCCTGCAATCTGCACTGGTATACCATGTTTTCCCGAGCTTTAATTTTTAAATATTTCGTATATTCTTTGGTATGTATTAGGTATTAGTGGAATAGTAGCAGAAAATTCTCGAAAATGTTCTAGTCCATCACTGTTCACGATTCTTCAAACAACTTTCTCTTATATAATCGTTAGAATTAATGTGTGACCCTATACGCTATTGAATGAATGAAATAATCGTACCATAAGTATTATTTTTTTCCTATTTTCTTGGCCATCTTGTTACGTAACTAACAATTAACCAAATAAATAGCAATTATTACAATTATTATTACTTACACGTTGCTCATCTCCCAACATTACGTTGCCTCGAGCAGAGTTGGACTTGGACCGTGAAATTGATAAATATCTAAAAAAAAAAAAATCAGCCCAAGGTTTTTACAGATTCCATTAGGATTTTTATTTTTAATGGGACCAGGAAAATACTTTAAATTACTGTAAACAAAATTAAAATCGTTTATAGATAAATTTTTATAATTCTACTTCTGCTAAAATATCTGGTTTTTAATAGTACCTAATGTAGATTATTCTCATTTTTAACCGACTTCAAAAAAGGAGGAGGTTCTCAATTCGTCGCGATATTTTTTTTCTACATAAATTTTTGCCCCTCGTTGGGCGTCATTTTGTAACGTTAAAACTACATGCATCGAATTATTATACAATAAAATTCTACACTTTATATCGGAATATCTATTTGTGTATTAAGAGCGAAAAGTTCAAAATGTACACAAGATTTTTTCTACGATCACATACATTATTTTAAGAAATAGATATAAAAACTGAAAATTTGTCATAAGTAGTGTATAATGTGTTGTCTTTAGCAACGTTATTAGTAGATAGACAAAGCTACTATGGGCTCACATGTGTAAGAGTGAGGGGGAGTGGGGGGAATTAAATCTCTTTTAACGCCGAACGGAAAAATTATGCGCAGAACGAAAGCCTGAAGGGCCTAAAACTTATATCTTTGTTATTGTTGGTCCGATTCAAACGGGGTGAACGGCATTATGTAGAGAACGCGGTATAGATGTACGTTGAAGCGAAAAATCATGCGCAGTGACGGACCAAAAGGGCCTAACACTTATATCTTTGTTATTGTTGGTCAGATTTAAACGGGAAAAACGGAAGTATGTAGAAAACGTGGTATAGATAACCGTCGAAGAGAAAAATCATGCGTAGAACGAAGAACCAGAAGGGCCTTAGCGTGTTTCTCGGATATTACTGGTCCGATTCAAACGGGAAAAACGGCATTATGTAGAGAACGTGGTATAGATTAACGTTGAAGAGAAAAATCATGCGTGAACGAAAAGCCAGAAGGGCCTTAACGTGTTTCTCAGATATTACTGGTCCAATTCAAACGGAAAAAACGACATTATGTAGAGAATGCGGTATAGATGAACGTTGAAGAGAAAAATCGACCTTTTGTTTGACGTTTCGTTTGACGTTTTCTTTTGACGTTTTCGTTTGACGTTTTCGTTTGACGTTTTCCTTTGACATTTGACGTTTCGCATGACGTTTTCGTTTGACGTTTTTTTTTAATGTTTTCGTTTGACGTTTGAAGGTTTAGTTGATATTCAAAGTCAATGTTAACTTAATGTCAGTTCGCGGAAAACGTCAACTTTGCCGTTGAATTTCGCAAAAGCCTACTTTGGATAGTGATGGTAGAAAAAAACTATTTAATTTGGATTTATAATAATAATAGTAAATCATACATTTTTGTATATAAAATGAACCATTTTTAATATGCAAATTAAGTTGCTGATCTACATCAATGCAATAACTTTGTTTCAATTTCAAAATATCGGAAAAATAATATTTATTTCTTTTGGTTACAGGCAGCATAAAAACCACACTCTTAGAAGGTAGCAAATTCAATGTGACGTGGCACTTAGGATATCCTCATAGGGTAAGTTTTTATTTTTCTAAATTCTGTAGGAAACCAACTTTTGATTTATTTTTAACAGGGAGGATTTAGGATACACTTATTAGACGAATTAGAAAGGCCTCTATTAGACTTAACCCCCTCCATACAAGGGTCAGAATTCGTAGCAGAAGATGCCACGTAAGTAAAAACTTTTGTCAATATATTTGTAAAAAATTGCGTGAAAAAAAAATTTAAACAAAATAGAGAGGACAGATATTGAAAAAGAATCAAATCAAAAAATTGTTTCCTAATTGTCAATTGTCAAAAATATTAGCTAAAGCAATGTTTGAAGCTAGTACATGTTATTGGAAATGACAAAGTATTAAATACGAATTTCTCTCAAGGATCGCATCATCAGATCTTGACCAAATTTAAATGGGACCGGTCCTGAGGTACCCCATTTTAACAGAACAAGAATCATAGAAAAATAATTATCGCTGAACATAATTATATAAAAAAAATATTCCGAGGAATTGTTGAGAACCTCCTTTTATTTTAAGTCTGTTATAAATAATTTATTGAATTGTTTATTTTAGCGCTCAATCGTTCCATGTACAATTACCTACCCAATTTTCGTGCGAAAATTGCACTTTGAGACTGATAAGACAAGCACTAGAGTGGGGGGATAGCTACAAATTCTGGTCATGCGCTGACGTTGATATTTTACCAAGTAAGTTTACTTTCTCACATTACATTATTTCAACATCATTTTTACATAATTTTAACATTATCTTAACATCATCTTAACATCATCTTAACATCATCTTAACATCATCTTAGCATCATCTTAACATCATTTTAACATCGTCATCATATCATCATTTTATCATCAATTTTAACATCATAATTTTAACATCTTCATTTTAACATCATTTTAACATTATTTGTCATTAGGTACCTACTTAATTTTGAATTTCCATTTAAGGAAGAAGATTCAGAGAAACCTGTAGCAGCCACGGTAAAAATTTAGTCGGCAGATGTAAATGTGACAGACTTTATTACGGAGATGTCTGTCAATACCGAAATGAGTGCGTCGAAGACAGCGATTGTGGAGATCATGGCAAATGTATCGATGTAGGCGGTACTACTTTACCAAGGCAGCAGTGCTACTGCCAATTGGGCTGGTTCGGTCCTGGTTGTATCAAAAGTAAGTTATATATAGTTGAGACGTCCTAAATTTACCAGTAGTTGTTACTTTTCCAATTACTAAGTATTGATTATATTGTTTGCAATTTAATTGTCTCAAAAATAAAAAAAAATATGTGGCACATATAAATTTTTCTTAAATTTGACACATAATTTTACATATAACAACATAACAGTCGTGGACAATGTAAAGTATTCTTTATTTCTTTTAATGCGATACAATTTATCATTTTATTGGCTACAGTTCTAACTAATATGGCGCCTCATCAGGATTTTGGACCTCTTCTTTTTTTATTTTTTTATTGTTGATTTGTCTAAATATGTGAAAATTTAAATGTCTAATTTAAATATATTATCTGTCTAAGATCTAAAAATCTTTTAATATATACTATTTCAAAAATGGTAAACTTAGGATTTTATATGCAGTATGATATCCATTTTGTTTCCATATTGACAGAATCTGCAATAAAAACAACCGACATCGACTTCGATTTATACACCGAAAAACAACTCAGCCCCACATTCAAACTCTACTGGCGAATCCTGAAAGAGCACAAAGAATTAGAAGCGGTACTGGTAGTCAACGGTACCAGCTACGCAGCCTTAGGCTGGCGACCGGCATCTCTAACGAAAACCTGCAAAAATTTCCCGGCCATCGGCCCACAAACTCCGGTTAAATCGACGGGTTCGGAAGCGGAACCGGAACCTCAATCGGAACCGGAACCCAAGAGTGAACCAGAGCCTACTTCGGAACCGGAACCCAAAAGCGAACCGGAGCCCAAGTCTAAGTCGGAACCGGAACCGAAGAGCGAACCGGAACCCGAACCTACGACCACGCAACCGACTAAATATAGGAAATCCTTGTATTCGAGAAGATCGGCTCAAAGTCCGGTTTTGAGGAAAGCTGAACATAATCCCGTTCAAAATGATGTCGTCGAAACTAGCGTGTCGTTTCAAGTTAGCAGAAAACAAGGTTAATAAGAGTATAATAAATAATTTAAATTATTAATTATCTCAATTTTTCTTATTTTAGGACGAAGGCGTAGAGCAACCAGCGGTAAGTTCATAAATTATTTAAAAATCCAGGTAACAGGGCACTTTAACAAAAGTAAAACCACTTTTTAGCAATATTGTAATAAATCGTGCACCAAAGTATCAATTGTAGCATTTCCCTAGTAATATTGTCTAACTAATGGTGGTTGGTCTTTTAAATTTCTTCTAGAACCGGTACCAGAACCTACCGCAGAACCGGAACCCGATCAAGACGCAACGACAGTACCGTCCGCAGAACCGGAACCCACCTCAGAACCCGTACCCGAACCCGCATCCAACAAAACCAAATCGACATCCAATTCGAAATCCAAACCCGCGCCGAAAGCCGAACCCGAACCTACTTCCCAGCCTGAACCTAATTCTAAGTCAAAACCCGAACCTAAGTCAGAACCTGAACCGGAACCCACGTCTGAACCCGAACCTACATCGGAACCCGAGCCTAAGTCAGAACCTGAACCTAAATCTGAACCCGAACCTACGTCAGAACCTGAACCTACATCCGAACCCGAACCTAAGTCAGAACCCGAACCTAAATCGGAACCCGAACCTAAATCGGAACCCGAACCTAAATCAGAACCCGAACCTAAATCAGAACCCGAACCAAATTCCAATATTACTGAAAAACATGCCAAAATTCAAGTTTCAACTGTTGGAAGTAGTGCAGGTATTGTAATTCACTTTAATATAACAAAATTAAATTAATTTCAATACGTTCGTGAATTATTTTTGGAAATTGAATTTTATTTGTAGGTGTTTATTATATTTTTTGTTTTAATTTGGATTATTGAAAAAAATCTCTCGAATAAGAACACGAACGTATTGACTTTTCTAATAACACTTTTACGGGAATTAGGCGTTCCAACGACCTGTCAAAATTGTGCCAGTGGGAACCAATGAACTGGAGTGGGGTAGAAAGCTAATGTGCATATTTTATCAATTGAACAAGATGCGACTCTATGGGCGCAGCCATTTTTATTTCTCATCTCACTCGGGAGTATTTATAATAACCATTTTCTGTTTCACATTGTTATTGTTTAATCCACAGGCTGGTGGATCAGACAATAACAAAGTGAAATAGAAAATGGTCGTTATAAATATTCCCGAGTGAGATGAAAAATAACCTGTCTTCGCCCATAGAGTCGCATCCAATGAACTGGAGTGGGGTAGAATGCTTGTCAATGGGCTTGAGATGCGACTCTATGGGCAAAGACAGGTTATTTTTCATCTCACTCGGGAGTATTTATTACAACCATTTTCTATTTCACTTTGTTATTGTCCGATCCACCAGCTTGTGGATTGAACAATAACAATGTGAAACAGAAAATGGTTATTATAAATACTCCCGAGTGAGATGAGAAATAAAAATGGCAGCGCCCATAGAGTCGCATCTTGTTCTATTGATACAATATGCACATTGGCTTTCTACCCCACTCCAGTTCATTGGTCGCATCTCAAGCCTATTGACAAGCATTCTACCCCACTCCAGTTCATTGGTGGGAACTGACAGTTTAGATATGGCAACACTGTGGGCCTGTTGTCATTGACAGGGTCAATGATATACATATATAGTTATATAGATTGCTCATTGCGGGTCATTTGCTGCGAGCGGCCATATTGCCTGACAAATGTTCATTAATTTAAAAAAAAAATTATTGCCTACATTTTTACTTGAAGGTTCTTATGTTTATTTTTAAAAACATGGATGATCAATCTATATAACTGTCTAATCATTGACCCTATCAAACCACTAAGCACACAGTGTTGCCATAATATAATCAGTTAGTGGCCTGTCATTTCAAACGAGCAGCCATTTTGTTTGGAATGCCTAATAGTCGAATGCAGAAAATTTTACAAGTAGTTTTATACGATTTTTTTCCTTTTTTATTATATTTTGGATTGTTGGGGACTTATTTATTTTGTAAGTTGATCACGTAGTTCCGGAGCATTCTGTATAAAGTACTCATATTAACTTGGAATAAAAACTAACACTGGTTACGAATTAGATACAGAATAATAGGGGGCAAATCAAGAGGTTTCAAATAAATGCCTGATCTATACGTGGAATAAAATTAATTTTGTCCATATTTTAGAATAGCATCAAAAATATTCAGACACGTCAATGATTAATTTAAACGGTACGTCTTTTAAAGTAAAATTTAAACCTACAGGATGAATCAGTAGTTACTCTAAATAGATACGGTGACAGTAAACTATATTTCATTATTCAATCTGTAGTTAACATTACCGAATTTAATAATTCTATATAAAATAAAAATGATATTTCAATTACATAAATAATAAATTAAAATCAAAACCAACCCTGGTAAATGCCGTTTCAAATATCCCAAAGACTTCCGCTTGATAACAAGTTACGTGCGAAGTAGTTAAAAATCTAGACAAGATATAGCTTTTTACTTTGTGGAAAATAATCTGTTTACATAAACTCCGACTTGCTCCCACTCACAAATCTATTTCACCCACCTAAACCCGTTTAAAATAAATGCAAGCGCTAGGTCAACAATTTGTAACACCACTCTATTTCTCTCTACGGCGAACTTGGTATGCCCAAACCATTTCTTGAAATCAATCACAAGAAAGTGGAGAGACTTTTAAATTCGACACGACAAGGTATTTTCCTAGTTGGGAAAAAAATCAATCTCCATGCAAAACAGTCAAAAATTTAACAAACTTATATTCATAAAATATTTTTTAAATTGGCATGTTTTGTGTTCAATTTTTTACGTATGTTAGCAGGTAAACAAATTTTTGTTAATTGTATTACGATAAAGCACATTGGCAGTCAAGAGTGGGGGGTGCGAGAAGTGATGGTGGTGGTAGCGTACCATCGGCTGCACTCTCCCGGGGCCCCGGGCAGAACGAGTTGAGTTGCCTTGAGTGTTATAGTGAAGTCAAGCTGTTAGTTGATTCTGACGCATTGTGTTCTATCGATAATAATTTGGTAACTAAATAATTATTTGACTTGATAATTGATAGAGTCTAAGATGTAGAAATATTTTCATCATTCAACTGTTTGTTATGTGGTTATTGAATTGAACGTTTAAGAAGATAAAATAAAACCAGTCATCAGAAGCAATTGCTTTAATTTCTACATTTCGCAACACCTTTCAATCAAGTAGCAACACTTTCTACAAGATTCATCATTTAGATACATTCCATGGTCTCTAAAACCAGCCCTGGTGGAATATAAAAATATACAGGGTAGGGTGATCGATATTTAATAAAATTCACCTATTTATTACAGCAAATATATTACTCACCCTATATATTCTAAATTTATTTTAAAAGGCGTAACATTTAGATTAAACATTGACGTGTTCCAGCATGTTTCTTAATTTTTTTAAATACAGGCAAAAACGATTTTATTTCATAACAATATTAACGTGCTGTTTTATCGAATTACCTGCTTTATGATTACTAGGAGACAATGAAAATTTAAACCCGTTCACACCTCGACATGACTTCAATCCGATGGACTGTACAGACATTGTTATTGGTAGTGCTAGAGGTAATAACAGCAGAATAGCGGATTATTACACGAGAGACAGATCGACGCCCAGAATGGACTCGTTTTGGGGAGGCAAAAACGATCTTACCACCGCCATGGGATTCGAAAAGGTATATTTATTATTATTAATATTGTGAATTCGTTTTTTAAAAACTTGAATTTCGTGATTATTTTCTGAACCAACAGAACTTGGAAACTATCACTCGAGTTACTCTAGTTTAAGCAAATATCTATATAAATAAAAAACGTCTTAACCACAAAATTGTTTATTAGAAATACTGATGAAGCGACTAGTTTCGGTTAGTGACCATCATCAGGCTAGTAAGAGAAAGTATATTGAAAAAATGTTGTATAAAGAATTTTTTTACGAGTTATAACCAGATGGGAGACGTGTTATAAAATTAATAAGACATTATTTAAATTGTTTAACAACAAAAATATCTATACATAAATAAAAATAATATTGTTATTTTCAGGATGGTGTAACGACGATCTTGTTCAGGAAGAAATTGGAAGCCAAAGAACTCTCCGATCATTCCATAGAAAACGATATAATGCACGTGATATTCGCGCAAGGTCAAGAACGCGGTAAATACGTGCACGTGCCAAAATCCGGTGTCGAATCCGCTGAAGCTAAAATTAAAGATTTCTACAAACCGGATGAACTCAAATACCACGGACACAAAGAGCAACGTGGGGTGGTTTCTTTGAATTTCTTTGGTAAGTTTTCAATATTTGTATCTACTATACCATTAATTTTTCCTCTACCATACATATAATGTAAGATGTAATTATTTTGATAATTAATTTAGCAAGTGATTTTCGGTGTTTGTCTTAAAATCATTTAGTTTTTCCTTTCTTATTTCTATACTATATCAAATTTACTTATTACTACAAATAATTACAAAAATGTTCTATATACATTATAATTAGTGTTAACCCTGCAAACTTTAAACAATGTAATTTAACAAATTTTAATTTAATTGTTTCGATTTATTATTGTTGTCGGGTATCGTGAATCGTGATACAACACAAGTTTTTTATGGCAGGCCGTTATTATATTTTATGGAATATATCTGTTATTTATGTTTGGAGAAGAAAATTGTTCAAATAAAAGTTACTTCTAATATTATTATCTATAATTTTTGTTTTATGTCAAAATTTCCTAAAATGGTCCGTATTCGAGAAATTTGACAAAATGTGCAAAATTCTGATTTTTAAGAAAATTATTAAACTAAAAGTTGTTTGCGATATCGATCTCTTAAATTTTTAATTTCACATGATTTTTCTACAATGAACCGTAATGAAAAAATTGGAGGAAAAGTGCTAAATTTAAATTTTTCAGTATTTTCGTTTTCAATGAATATCTATAGAAAAATTTTTCGAGTTAGATGTATGTGGAAAATGTATATATTTAGTTTATCCTCTAAACATTTATAGAGGTACTGCAATAGGTTGAACAAAATAACCGGAAAAGTCCATATTAACTAGATAGGAAAGTCATGTGTTGGACACATCAGATTTTTACATTAACAATAGTTCATAATTTAACTGAGCAAAATGTTGTAATCCCATGACCAGTTTTGCTAATAGACCGGTGCCCCATTTTCGTACATAGATTTTAAGTAGAATGAAAGGAAATTTACGAGTGGCTCCTGTTGATAACATATGGAAAATTCGATTTTCCCTAACAAAAATCAAAGGTTATTTGTTGCCCATATTTCCATGCAAGCCGTTTTCACTATATGATTAATTAATAGAACTAGGCTTCGGAAAACCAAAGGCTCTAATGTTGCAAGTGGCTAAAGGGTTGAAATAAGGGCGTAATCTTCTAAGGAAAAATGGAAATTTTGCCAGATGTTTCCACACAAGCCCATCGAATGTATGAAAACGTACATTATCACTAGTCCGAAAAACATATTTTCTTGAATGAGTCGAATTTATAAGTGCATTTTAGGGGTCGGAAAATTTCTCTGATAAGGAAAATCGAATTTTCCATGTGATATCCCCAAGAGCCACTCTTTGATTCTACTTAATATCGATGTACTTTTCAACCCTCTTCGATGCTTGTATGCGAAAATGGGGAAGCTAAATCGGTCACTACCTCACGGTCTATAAATTGTGCATCCAAAGTTACTATAGTTGAATGATGTTTTTAATCTCTATTTTGCTTATCAGCAAATAGAATTAAAAACTGATGCTAATATCTGTGTATACAGACCTAGCAAAATGAAATTTACTTAGTCTGTATCTAAGCAGATCAGCAAATCATACGGACGATGCACGGATGGGCATATAATGCAGGATCGATGCTAAATCGTACATAACGATCGCCGAATGATACTCTCTCCGGCACACGCAAATCAGGCCCATATATTTGATCTTGTCAGGTCTGTATATTTATGCTTTCTTGTACATAACACTACCGGACCGATTCATGTGAAAATGGTAGGACGCCGGGTGTATAAAGTCAGATCTTTGAATGAATTATTATTATTATCATATAGCAGAAAGAACAAGGTGAAATAATATTTCATTGCAATTTCAACTTTTATTGATATAAGAATAATATTTCTTCAGAGCCTTAGAAAATATTTATTTTACTGTCATACTAGTATATTCAGCTGTTTCATGGTTTACTAATTGTCAGGACGTAAACGCTTACATACAGTACTAGCTTGCAGAAGAAAGCCTCGAATATCAAGATGACCACAAACTCTTGAAAAACTTGGTACATACAAGTATATAATATATAGTGTATAGTTCTTCAACATACCATTTTGAATTTACCGTATTACATTTATTATTATTTTAGCTAATGGAAGTAAATACCTATACTATTTATGTTTTTTTTTTAGATGAAAAAAGGCAGATAGATCCTGCTGGACCAATGGCGACTAGCAACAATGCCGAGACCAGAGATTGTGGTGGAATATGGAAACATCCGAGAAACTGTAATCCTGATAATTACACTTGTGAATATTCAGCGCAATGGGAACTGATACCAAGGAAGGATACCATCAAATTTACCATCACCACTAAGCATACAGACACGTGGACCGGGATAGCGTTTTCAGACGACGAAAAAATGGTAAGTAGGTATATTGAAATGAGTTTTTCTTCGCATAATTTTACCTAGAGCACACAATTATTGATAAAAAAATGAGTTTACTTCACTTCGTTGTATCATTTTAGCTGTTAAAACGTTTGCATGTAGAAATTTTGTTAAAAAAACTTGATCCCTATCAGCTCTGCTCCCACAAAATTAATGTTTTTTTTTTATCTCATTACACACTGTTTTAGTTGAAACTACAAATTAACGTACATAATTTTCATATAAAACTATCAATAATTGAAATCTTAAAACAGAAGTACACACAAAACAATTATTGTGCTAAAATTCATATATTTTTCCAAATTGCGATATAAGCTCCTTTTTCATATTCTTTACCGATACAAGATGATTTAATGGGAGAGTAATTTAACATTTTTTCAAAATTATCCAATTTAAATGATAAAATTTACTTGCAGTCCCAAACCGACGCGATCCTAGGATGGGTGGACAAGACCGGTAGACCATTTTTGATGGACACATGGATCACCGGTTACACCCAACCCTTGCTGGACTCTTCCCAGAACATATTCAACATGTCCGGAAGGATTGTAGATGGCGTTACGAGTCTATCGTTCGCGAGAAAAAGAATTACTGACGATCCCAGAGATTTATCGTTCACCGATGATAAGTGCTTGTTTATGATGTTCCCAGTTAGAGGTGGGGCGTTTAACAGCGTCAACAAGAAAATTAGAAAACACGAAGTCGTACCGACGGTGTCTACTGAGCGGATTTGCATAAAATCTTGTGGAAATGGTAAGGGCTATAAAATTTAGAATGTTTGAAAAAATATTCCAAAGTTAGAAAAAATTATTGTTTTAATATTAATTTTTTAATTATTTATGACCACTTAATTACTTAAATTACTTAAATTACTTAAATTACTTAAATTACTTAAATTACTTAAATTACTTAAATTACTTAAATTACTTAAATTACTTAAATTACTTAAATTACTTAAATTACTTAAATTACTTAAATTACTTAAATTACTTAAATTACTTAAATTACTTAAATTACTTAAATTACTTAAATTACTTAAATTACTTAAATTACTTAAATTACTTAAATTACTTAAATTACTTAAATTACTTAAATTACTTAAATTACTTAAATTACTTAAATTACTTAAATTACTTAAATTACTTAAATTACTTAAATTACTTAAATTACTTAAATTACTTAAATTACTTAAATTAAATTACTTAAATTACTTAAATTACTTAAATTACTTAAATTACTTAAATTACTTAAATTACTTAAATTACTTAAATTACTTAAATTACTTAAATTACTTAAATTACTTAAATTACTTAAATTACTTAAATTACTTAAATTACTTAAATTACTTAAATTAAATTACTTATTTATTACTTACTTACTTACTTAAATTACAATTGTAATTTGATTATTTCTGTCAATAAGAAGACATTTTTCTTTTATTTTCAGATGGCATTGACGACTATTTAGCCACGACTGAACCGCCAGGTCTGGGCTACAATATGAAAGTCAAATTGGTAGATTTGGGTGAAAATTTCGTCTTTCCGAAAGAAGGCTCGGCCCATTACGAGGATTTGTCAAATTCGATCGAAAACAGTTTTGTACCAGTTTTCAATAAACTCCCTGGATATGTTAGAATCGTTTTGAAAGAAATCGAAAGCACGTAAGTTTGAATTGATTCCTTTTCTATGGATTTTCAATTCGGCAACACTGTGTATGAAGATTAAAATTAGAATTACGTAATCGTGCAGTCCAGTGCCAGTATTAATTAAAATATCAAATTTAAAAATCTATATGAAAAACTAGTACACAAATTTCATTTTTAGGGACGACAATAATTTGGTGGCATCCATGCAACTGCAATTGGAAAAACCGATCGCCGAAAAGGGCAGATCGTTGGCCGAAGGTACCTCCGAAATTGACGAAACGGTTCATAAAATCGTACAAGAAAGCGTCGGTTCTGGTAGAGTTGGTAATCTCAAAGTCGATCCACAGTTTCTGGTTTTCGAAATGAATAGTTGTAAGTATATATTTTTATTTATAAAACAATTTTTACCAGATTAAGGGCCAGTCTCTAAATAAAGTTGAAAGTTACTACATGCTGATTAAACTATAGGGCTATTGTTTGTTAATCTGTCAAGTAAACCTTCATGTAACTTTACTCAAAGGTGAAAAGATCGACCCTAAGCAATTCAAACCGACAGAAAACGTTTTTTACACACAAAATTATAATTTTCACAAGCTTTCTGTCGTTTTTTTACAAATTTCTATTGTTATATATATGTTTTTTAATTTTTTTACAAGTTTTGATCGTTTTTACAAGTTTCTGTCGGTTTTTTAGAAGAATTTGTGATTGTTAAAGGTTGCTATCTTTTTTTACAGGTTTATATCACTTTTTACAGGTTTTTGTGGTTTTTAAAGGGTTCTATAGTTTGTTTAAAGGTTTGTCGTTTTTTATAGGTTTTGGTTATTATTTTTTCCTGTTGTTTTTTAACAGATTTATGTCGTTGTTTACAGGTTTATATCATTTTTTACAGATTTCTGTCGTTTTTTACAGTTTTCTGTATTCTTTTAGGTTTTTGCCATTTTTACATGTTTCTGTAATTTTTCACAAGTTCCTCTCGTTTTTACAAGTTATTGTAGTTTTTAAAGATTTCTATTGTTTGTTTATAGGTTTAAGGTGGTTTTTAAAGGGTTCTATAGTTTGTTCATAGGTATCTTTTTTCACAGGTTTCTTTCGTATTTTAGTCGCTTTTAGAAGTTTCTGTAGTTTTTGTGGTTTAAAGGTTTCTTTTTTTTTGTAAATTTATATCGTTTTTTAGTGGTTTTTGAGGTTTTTAAGGGTGTATATAGTTTGTTTACTTATGCAAAAAATACCTACCTCGTTTCGCTTTTTTTTTACTCGATACCGTTCTTTTAATATATTCATGCTCCGTTTACTCCATTGATATGGTTTGCTTGATGTCACGTGACCAAAAAAATCTACTGGTTCTGCTCGAAGAGATACATTTCAAACGTAATATGGTTTATGTCGTTTTTTACAGATTTTTGTTTTATTTACTTATTTCTGTCGTTTTTACTGTTTTATGTCGTTTTATACAGGTTTCTGTAGTTTTTTATAGGTTTCTGTAATTTTTTTACAAGTCTATTGCTGTTTGAAATGTACCTTCTCGAGCAGAGCGAGTATATTTTTGGATAACATGACATCGAGCAAACTATATCAATGGAGCAGACGAAGAAAAAAGAACGGTATCGAGTAAAAAAGTGAGTTACTTTTCAAACCCATAATCTTTTTTGGGGTTTTTAATGATTTTTCTCGTTTGTTCACAAGTGTCTTTTCCAGGTTTCTGTCGTTTTTTATAACTTTCAGACGTTTTTTATACATATTTCAGTTGTTTTTTTATTGGTTTCTGTCGGTTTTTTACAAGTCTTTATCATTTTTGTGTTTTTTAAAGGTTTCCATAACTTTTGCAGCTTAACATAGTTTTTGTGGTTTTTAAAAGAATCTATAGTTTGTTTACTGGTTTTTGTATATTTTATAGTTTTTTTATTTTATTTATAGGTTTCTGTCGTTTTTACAGGTTTTTGTCAATTTTTTTTTACAGATTTTTGTGGTTGTTAAAGGTTTCTATAGTTTGTTTACAGGTTTCTGTAATTTTTTATGTTTCTTTCGTTTCTACAAAGTTTCTGTCGTTTCTACAAAGTTTTTAAAGGTTTCTATAGTTTTCTTACAGGTTTATGTCGTTTTTTTACCAGTTTTCTCTCGTTTTTACAAGTTTCTATCGTTTTTTGCAGATTTCTGTAATTTTTAAAGCTATTTGACGAGTTCGTAAACAATTTATGGTATGGTCCGATATTAACCGGCTACTAATCGTAACTAATCAGTTTTTTTGACAGCAATTTCTAAAGAAATAGGATTACAAGTTTTAGTTGTTTTTACTAGTTTTATCGTATTTACAAGTTTTTGTGGTTTATAAAGATTTCTATCGTTTGTTTACAGGTTTATGTTGTTTGTTTACAGGTTTATGTCGTTTGTTTACAGGTTTATGTCGTTTGTTTACAGGTTTATGTCGTTTGTTTACAGGTTTATGTCGTTCCTTACAGGTTTAAGTCGTTCATTACAGGTTTATGTCGTTCCTTACAATTTTATGTGGTTCCTTACAGGTTTTTGTTGTTTTTAAAGGTTTCTTAATTTGTTTACAGGTTTGTCTTTTTTAGATTTTTTGTTTTTTTAAAGATTTCTGTCGTTTTTCTTACAGAGTTCTGGGGAGAAGATCTAACTTTGTCTTGATGATTCTAATTATCGGAGAAACGGTACCTGTATGACGTTTTTTTACAAATTTATATTTTTTCACAAATTACTGTCGATTTTTAAAGGTTTCTGTCTTTTTTACAAGTTTCTATCATATTTTAATAGTTTTGTGGTTTTTAAAGGTGTCTATAGTTTACAAGTTTCTGTACTTTTTTACAGGTTTCTATTGTTTTTCATGTTTTAATCGTTTTTACAAGTTACTGTAATTTTTAGTTTTTGTGGTTTAAATCGTTTGTTTACAAGTTTATGTCCTTTTTTATAGGTTTTGGGATTTTTAAAGGTTTCTATAGTTTGTTTACAAGTTTTAATCGTTTTTTTTTTACAGACTATTGTTGGGTTTTTCTTACATATTTCTGGGAAGGGACCGAACTTTGTCTTGATGGTTTTATTAAATTATCGGGCCGGCACATTCACGGTTACGAATTTAAAATACAGGGTGATTCAATGTAGAATTAGATTAAATACGTTTTAAAATATAGGTTGATTTCATTCAGAATTGTATCGAATATTTCGCAGTTGTGAAATGAAATATTTAAATGCGGATAAAAAAAATATATTACAATGTATGACTTTTTGTTTTCGCAGTAACAACAAATCTGATAGCGGACGCATCGTCGTCGAACTCGGATAACAGTTTCTTCAATTTGACGGAAGCCAAGCTTTACATCGTTTTGGGTTGCATTGCGGCATTGGCTTTCGTCGCCATCGTCCAAGCCGGTTGCACGATATACAAAACCAGGAGCAAATCTTCTACCAATCACAAGGTAACTTCACTGTGAATGCTGCTCAGCCATAGGCATGGGCAAGTAGGTTCGCTAACTCACTATATAATATTACTATCTACTATATATGTTATATGTTGTTGTACTGGTTGGTTGGGAGCGTGATGTAAATAACTGTAATGTATTTTTGCGTCAACAGCAAAAAAATAATTGATTAATCGATTCTTACATAAGAAAAACATAAAAATGCTAAATTAGATAAAGCATAAATCGACTTCTCATTTAGCTTAATTTTTGATACACAAGTCCAGGTCCGGATTTAGATTTTTTAATTCTATGTCTTATTTTTGTTTTTTAAAAAAGTTATTTAAAATATATGTTTATTTTGATATATTCTATACACATTCATATTAAGCGAAAAGCTACCAACACAGAAAAATATCATTTTTGAATACTAAAAAAATATACAAGGTATATAATTTAATAAATATATCCATGTGTTATTTTGGACTAATGATGAACCCGCTACATTTCCTAATTGACTTATATTAATAACTTAATTTATTTCATAAATTTTTTTGTAAAACGAAATATTAACAAGTTACGTTACTTTTCGTACATGAACAGTTTCATTATTTACTATTTGAAACATTTTTCTGTAATTTTTTTGACATTTCATAAAACTTGTTTCTATTAAAGTCTCGCAACCTATACGTTCTATTATGTCAACTAATTACTTCATATGGCAACTAATTATTTTTTTTATTTTTGACTATTCTGTGAGCCAATTCTTGAAAAATATATTTATTTTTACATAATATAAAACAATCACACACACACTTTAATTTAATCTGTAGGCTGGCTCAAGAGCCTATCATCTTGGGAGGATGCACAATGAGCCTAGGGAAGTCTAAGTGCCGTAAGTCCCACTTTAATTTAAATCCTTTAAAAACATTCAAAAATGAAGAACATGCAAGAAACGCACTTTAAATTCTTAAATTTTTGTTCTGTTGCTGATATCTGCTAATTTACACTATATATTATTTCACTGTTGGCGCAAAAATGTTATTTACATCATGGTTGGGAGTAGAAAATACTGTTGTCTTGATGACACTAATTAAATATAAAGTGATCCACAAAAATGTTTTTAAAGTAGGTTATGGAAAAAATCACGAATCTCTGCGAGTGTACAATTGTTATTTGTTAAATGAGACACTACTCGCTGTCTTTGGACAGTTACTCGGGCGCCAGATTATTTGAAGTTAAATACATGTAATTACTCGATATGAAGCGGCATGCGGTCCCTGCCGAGTTATTCGAGAAAATAAATGTTATTTATTTGACGCCTTTAAAGTTTACTAAAATTGAACTAAAGAAAAAACTGATGTGTCCAACACAATGACTTTCCTGTCTAGTTATAATAAGCTTTTTCCGGCTGTTTTTTACAACCTTTTGTATCGCCCTTGTAATGTTTATAAAAATATAAATTTTTCCACATACATCTTACTTGAAAAACATTTTTTTATTCATTGCCAACTAAAATACTGAAAAATTAAAATTTTACTTTTCCTCTAATTTTTTCATTACGGTCCATGTACAGGAAAAGAATTATAGAGAAGAACATTACAAGTAACTTTTACTTAAACAATTTGTACTTTTTTCAAATATCTCGAATTATATACAAGTTAAAAATTATATAAAATGACATCCCAGGGTAACTTTTTTATGTATAATTTTTTTCTCCATGGGTAAATAATAGATATATTTCATAAAATAGAAAAAGTACCCCCAGATGTTCCGACTATGTCTAAAATCTAATCAGCTTACCGTAGCTTAAGTTTAAAATTTGAGTTATCGAGTATACAGACACATACATCATCATGAAAATAGTCAAAATGGATGAATGAGGCCCTAAAACGTCGAAAATTCGAGGTCGATAATATCATAATTCCTATGCTTTTCTTATCTGCATACAGATGGTAAAGTAAAAATGAATTAACATGTAATTACTCGATGTGAAGCGACATGCGGTCCCTGCCATGTCATTCGAGGAAATAATTGTCATTTAAACAATGGCTTGCTTTACAAACATTTGTTTGTGGATCATTATCTACATTTTGATGGTAATATCGATTAGATATAAATGTAGATTTTGCTAAAGGGTGTCTTTCTATAGAAATTAACATGTAGGTATTATTAGATTATTTTTTAAATTGTTAATGACGGTTGTTTTGAATAAAATATTTATATTATAATATGCTGTTTACCATTTTTTTAAATGAATGATGACGATACGCTTATTTAAAGTTGAACAACAGTACTAGTTGTTTACTTATACATTATGTGTAGATTGTATCCAGCGTATCCAATTTAAAAATACGCTTTAACAAAAATTGAATTTACTTTTAATTTTATATATAAAATTATTGTTAAAAAAAAAAAGGATTTTTAAATTGGACACGCAGTAGCTTTATTTTGCTAAAATGCTTTTTCTAATACTCACACTTTGCTATGTTAGAGAGTTTATAATGTGCAGCTTGACTATCCTCCTCCTGTATATTGGCATGGGCACGGGCAAGGGCATGGGCCTAACTAATGGCAAAAGCTTTACAAAGACATTATGTTTAATTTATGGGTGAGTTTATCACAAATGCCAAATTCTAATTCGTTTTTCAAAATAAAGAGTTGTAGAAAAAAGTATATTTTCAAAATATTACTAATAAACAATTTAATGCTCTTTTTATCACGAATACATTATAGAAATATTTCTCGTTGTTATTATTAATAAAAAATTTCAGGACCATCTAATCCCCAACTCAGCCTGGAAAGATTACTCCTCGAACACGAACTACGCTTTTGACGCCTTCGAAACCCCATCCACAGCTACATTAGAAGAAAAGAAACCGCCAAACGGCACCAACCACGGTACCAACGGTACCAACGGCACCACCAACACCAACAAACCTCCCAAACAGCGCCACATCCAACGACCCAGTTCCCGTCCGCCCAGCGTGCCCACCGCCGTTCAAGTCGATACCAGATCGTTGCAGAGACCGCGTATCAGCAATTTCCCGCCTACCAGTATGGATAGGAACACTTTTTCGTTGCCGAGGACCGTCTACGACAGGAACCATTACAAAGAGAATAATATGCCTGCTGATTTCTATTTTATGCCTTCGCAGAGGAAGTATTCCGGAGAGGTTGTTAGAGTTTACGTTGATTACAATAATCAGCCTAAATGATTTTAAGACTTTTATAAATTTCTGCAAGATTGTCGATTGGGTTTTGCTAATTTGTGGTACCTGCATACAAAAAAAAACAACAAATATGATTACTTCAGAACAGTCACAACTGTCTCTAAGTAACTAGGTAAGAACAACAACGTATCAACGTTATATTGGACCGAATTAGGAGTATTGATGGAGGTATTATTCGAATTTACATACTAATTATTAACGAATTAAAAATTTTAAAGCTGTATCTAAAATTTTGTCTTTGTCTTCAATGAATTTTTAAACATACTATTTAGTATTCAGTCATTTTTTGATTGCATAAAACTTAAGATAAAACCCTTAGATTTCTTCAGTTAAACTGTAATTTTGATTATTCTAGCAGTATAACACAATTATAATACACTTAATCAACACTACATATTTTTCAAATTAAAAGCGGTTTAATTCTGCATTAAAAACACAAATTTATTATATAGAAATCATTAAAATAAACAACTTTTTTAAAAAGATCCCAAAAATAAGAAAACTGCATAATTTATTCCAAAATATATTCAATACGATCTTGTCTAACTTAAAATATATTCAAAGTTGTTACCAATCACTTCAATGCAACGCTCTATCGTCGCCACCATTGCATAATAAGCGGTTTTGCTCTAATTGTCTCTGCAGCTAAAGCTAAAGTTTTCATGTAGCCCCACAAGAAAAAAATCTCAATGGTTTAGGTTTGGTGAGCTTGGTGGCCACGCAACAGGTTCATTTCGATCAATCCACCTACTTAGGAAAGTAATATTTAAAATGGACAAGGGCCACTTCCTTCAAAAGTCATATATCTTGCTCGAAAAGGAAACATTCTTTAGACACTTGCTATAAATAAGCAACCTATCCACAAGTTCATTGTTGTCATAATTTACCACAGTCTTGCAAAAACTAGTCCGGCCCTGATCTTCTCGCCGTACAATCCGCCCTTGTGTGTTCCGATACCTCTGGACGGTCGAGACAAACGGATTCCTACGAGAAGTTACTGGAAAGCTTTAGCAGTCGTGACCAACCTCTTTCCGATCAGAATTCCTTGATCAACCTCTACATCGTGGTTCCAAAATGTTCCCTGTCCATAGTTTCTTCAAACCGAGCTACTATAATGATTTCACTTCAACCAGTTACCACCGTATCTTCATGTACAGCTACTGGTACAGTACTGTCTCTATACGGACGAAGGAATACCTCTTCGGCACCAACTTTGGTCACTCTGTACTTAAAATCCAACTGAAAGCCATGTAAATTCATTACATTCATTCCTAGTGTAACTTCTTCGATATCAGCAACGATAACAGTATGAGTGAACTTTTCTATACCAATTCCTAGTTGAATTTGGATTTCCTCATGTTGGCACTTTCACCAATAGTAGTCCGCAGTAGCAATCTTGATGGACATTTCAAAGAGGCTACAGTATGAGAGGGTCTTTGGAACGATTTCGGGTCGAAGCTGTCCCCTCTAGGCTGTCTCCCTCTAGTTTTCCTGTGGCGTGTTGTCTTCATTTATTGTGAACCTAGGTCGTTTACACGAAATTCATACATATTTCAGTTCATCGCAATTCCAGCATCTGTTGGTCTTCGACTTCATCTTTTTATCATTATGTTAACCAGTTGGTAGTGTTTATATTCAACGTCTTCTTCGTTTAGAGTTCTCACTTTACTGTATTCTCCAGAAGCATCGTAGCTGCCTCATACTCTAGACCAGCGGATGTTTTGTGACGGGCTAAGCGAATTGTTATCTGCATTTCATGGTCACGAAGTTCATCAAAAAATGTTTTCTGGAGCTGATGGGTAGGCAAATCGTATCAACCTAGCAATATCTACTTCGTATTCTTGAAGGGTCTGCTTGCGATCCTTTAGCTGTGATTCATCCGTTTCTTCCAGAGGTATAGTCTGAAAAACATCTAAAGCATCTCCTTAAGGGGCGATGATCAAATTTACTATCATTTCTCTTTCAGACTATTCGTGAGCTCTCGCAGCTGTTTCGAACTGTTTGGTAGTTGGTTCGTGACATCATTCCTACGAAAATTGGGGATTTAATACGGGCAGAATTTACAATTCTTTCCAATTTCAGCTCTGACTCCAACTCATGACACTTAATTTCACCGTCCTTAGCCTCTTCTGCACGTTCCATTTCTTCTACCTTCTTTTCCATCACTTTTATTTTCTCTTCAACGAAAGACATTATGTTCTCCTCAGCTGAAGATATGTTATTTTCCATAGAAGAAAGTTCTGAAGAAACCTTTTCTTCTAAGGAAGAAATATCAGATGAAAGTATATTTTCAATAGAAGACATTTTGCTTTCCAAGTCGGAAGAAATTTCAATTTTGAAAGAAATTTTGTTTTTTGTAGAAGTCATATCAGTAGAAATTTCATTTTTCTTAGAAGACATTTCAGAAGACAACTTTTCTTCTAGGGAAGAAATATCAGACTAAACTTTGGCTTCCTTGGATGAAATATTAAAAGACACATTTTCTTCTAAGGAAAATATATAAGGCAAATATTTGTTTTCCATAGAAGACATGTTACTTTCAAAGTTTTAATAAAGAAAACATTTTGATTTCCAAATCGGAAGAAATTTTCATAGAAGTTATATCAGTGTAAATTTCGTTTTTCATAGAAGATATTTCAGAAGACGTCTTTTCTTCTAGGAAAGAAATATTAAACGAAACTTTTGTTTTCATGGAAGAAATCTCAAAAGACACCTTTTCTTCTAAGGAAAAAATATCAAACGAAAATGTATTTTTAATAGAAGACATTTTGCTTTCCAAGTCAGAAGAAATTTCAACTTTTAGTGAAGAAATTTTGTATTCCAAATAGGAAGAAATTCTTTTTTCATAGATAGATACATTTCAGAAGACACTTTTCCTTCTAGGGAAGGAATATCACACTAAAATTTAGTTTCCATGGAAGAAATATCAGAAGACACTTTTCTTCTAAGGAAAAAATATCAGACAATAATTTATTATCCATAGAAGACATTTTGCTTTCCAAGTCAAAAGAAAAAGAAACTTTTAAAGACGAAATTTTGTATTTCAAATCGGAAGTAATTTCGTTTTTTATAGAAGTCATATCGGTGGAAATTTAATTTTTCTTAGAAGACATTTCAGAAGACAACCTTTTTTCTAGAAAGGAAATATCAGACTAAACTTTGGCTTCCATGGAAGAAATATCAGAAGACACATTTTCTTCTAAGGAAGAAATATAAGGCGAACATTTATTTTCCATAGAAGACATGTTGCTTTCTAAGTTGGAAGACATTTTTACTTTTAAATAAGACATTTTGTATTTCAATTCGGAAGAAATTTTGTTCTCCATAGAAGTCATATCGATGGAAATTTCGTTTTTCATAGAAGACATTTCAGAAGACACCTTTTTTTCTAAGCAATAAATATCAGAAGAAACTTTAGTTTCCATGGAAAACATTTTACTTTCCAAAGAAGAAATTGTAGAAGACGCATCATCAGAAAATGAATATGTTTCCGGATTCAAACCTTCACTTTCTAGCGCTTCTTTGAGCTGTGCTTTCTTCCCTGTCGTCTCCAGCTCACGATCTACAAGTTCCCGACGTAACTCCGTCACTTTTAGTTTACTGAGTTTTTCAGCTCTTTTAACCACTATTTATTTACAAATCCCGACTTATGACACCAATGTAACGTTTATTTGTTTAAAACAGTTTATTTACACTAAATACTAGTTTATTTATACTAAAGCATTATTTATATTTCACACTTATATTCTAATTTATATAACAATTTGAATTTCTATCTTCAACTGTGTCTCAACTTCAACTAAACTTAAACCACAAAAGAATCCATTTATATACAAAATATTATGCTCCAGACAAATCCAGTCCTGTTTCGCGTTTCGAGATACTTCTATAGGGGGTCTTTCCGATAAATTAACGCTTGCGCTAGAGCTTTCCAGTAACTTATCGCAGAAGTCCGTTTGTCTCGACCGTCCAGCGGTATCGGAACACAGATGAGCAGCTTGTACGGCGAGAAAATCAGGGTCTGACTATTTTTGCACACTTCAGATAAACACGCTGCTGAAATCACACGCAACTGTATTCTGCTCCTTTTTTATTTTTGAGTTTTTTGAAAAAAGTGATTTTGTTAACGACTTATATCCACAGGTGAAAAAGTGTTAACTTAGTATAAGTTGATGAGTTTCAAATGAGCTGTTAGATTTTTATCTGTCATATTTGGATCAAAGAAAATACAGCACCCCTCGCAATGTTGCCAATTTTCAGTATTCTTGGCTAGTTACTTTGAGATAGTTATTGGAACCATTCTAATATTAAAATTTTGAGACAATAGTATAAAAATTATCTAGTTTTTTTAATAATCGCCCCCTCAGGTCTGTAAAAATCAGATAAACAAAAGAAATAAATAGGTAATGGGCCCCGCTTAATATAAAAGATTTGTTTGACGCCAGTATATACGAATGTATAAATATTTGGTTGCCCAATGGCGTATCAAATTATTTTTTCATCTGAATCCGTAGGGTTATTTTTTTAAATATTTTGTAAAGAGCGGATTTAAGGAAAAATGCACTTAAATTGTTTGGGCTCGCAGAAGAACGAGTAGAGAACTTCAAATACCTATCTATATTTAATTTGTTTATCTGAAAATGTGCCAAAACCCTATAATTGCCGTTCATTTAAATTAGTATCCGATTTTTCATATAAATTACTAGTTTAAATTGTAAAATTAAAAAAAACTTTTATTTCGCACCTATTTTTTAATTATATAGGACAAAGAATGTGGTGAAATGCGGTGAACATATTATGTTTAAATAGTTTCTATTTTTTAAATATAGACGAAACCAATAAGAAATGTAAATATATAAAGGAAATGTTTTTTAAAAAAAGAGATTTTTATGTAATATAATGGGTGTTACATTTTTCTAGTCTTTAAGCTCTAAAAAATATTGTATAAGTTTAATTATTATTATGAATAAAAAGCAATAAATGAATTGTGAAAAGTACTATTGATACACTATACTAAGTATAATAATTTCTTAGTTAGTGTGCAGTAATTTATTGATATGTACATAATTTTTATGATATTATTAAATTTTATTATTATGATGTTAAATTTAAGTTAGGGAGTGTATCTGAAAAAAATTAGCGATTTTATTGTAAATAAAAGACAGTCTAATTTTTATTAGGACATTCTGTATATATAGAATTATTTCAGTTATTTTACTTCTATATTTTAAAAGCCAAATAATCGTGTACATATTTCTATAGTTTTATTTTTATTATCTTGTTATTATGTTTTTCTGTACTTTATTCTAAATTTGAAATTAACCAATAAACTTTCTTTAATAATATTCTATATTATTTTATCCTATTACTTATTTTTTAAACGAATCACCCTGTATTTTATTTTATATTTTAAGGATTTTTCATTACCACTTGAGAAAATACGCTCACAAATGGCGTCCACACGGTTGGTCACTCAAAAGTACTTGGACAGGTTCAGATGGAGATGAAAAATTCCAGGGATCACGTTGATTTTACATTATGTGCAATGAGGATATAAACAACTAGCTTTAATCCTCATTTGTGCGGGTGACAAAATTTTCCAGTGGCTAAAAAATAGGTATAGTAACAGTAAAATGCATAAAACCAGGATGTAAAGAAACAATGCGCAAGATATCAGTCTAATAATGATTTGATTTATGTTTAATACCCTAATAAGTTATTTAAATAAGTAATAAATTATAAACTTCTCAAAATTTATTTGGATTATATGCAAAATTTTTGGAAGTATCAAATTTTTATTTCCAAATTTGACTTACAAGAAATCCTGAAATGATTTGACTGATTGTATAAATTTCTGGCCCTATGTAGAGCGACTTTCTATGACTGGTCCTCTTACACTTCGTCAGACAATCTTAGACTTTTTGCAAGTTAAAAACTTCCTTTAAATAAAGACCTAATTCATATTTTTCTTTTCTAATTTTTAAATGAAATGGTTTTCTGCTTCTCCTGTAAAATTATTACGTATGGAGTCAGAAGGTTTACATGTTAAGGTAACCATTTATTTTACGCGTATGATTGCATTACATTAAATACAAGAGCGCCACCACACGAGGGCAAGAGGGTTAGTCTGTCCCCTGGATTCGTGATCTTTTCACTACGGCTTTCGACTATAGTTTGCGACGTTTTGACCCTGTTTACAAGAATTATCCCCTGGAATTTTTTTGAACGTCGCCAATGACTAAATATTGCAAGTTTTCACATGCTAGGCCGATTTTTTTTAGTTTTAGGAGAGGCTTCTCTGTATTTGTAACGTGTGGGTTACCCTCACGGCACTTAGGCCTCATTAGGCCCATTGTGCGTCCTCCTAAGATAATAGGCACCTCTTAAGCTCGTGAGCCAGCCTACAGATTTAATGTAGTTGACAACGTCGCCAAGACGTACTTCTCTTATATCGGCCGATACTCGCCGAACACAAATCTTCTAATAAATGAGAACGTCGAGCAATCGTAAAGGATATGCTCGATGGTCTCATCTTCTTATTCGCACCCTCTGCAGAGTGTGGATTCTCTCTCTGAGCCCCATGATATGGAGATGCTTCCGTACTTGGCAATGACCAGTCAGAATGTCTGTGACTAGGCGCAGATTCTGTCTGCTGCAGTGTTATCAGGATAACAAGAGCTCCCTGGCAACTCTGCAATTTCTTGTTTCATCCCATCTTTCCTTGAATTTCACAAGGGAATATTCTTTAATTAGGTCTGTCACTACCGATTTTGTTAGGCCAATAGAAGGGCCAGGTCCAAAAAGTATTTGGTTGGCTGCTTTCTTGGTTAGTGAATCAGCAAGACGGGTTACCTTTCGATGTGGCGTGACTTTGATCTATCTTAAGATGATCACATTGTTGATGGATACTCTACGTGACATTCTAGTACTAACCCTAAATAAATTCGTGGTCTTTTCAGGGTGAGTAGTGCTTGTCTGCTATCTGTATAGATGAGCATGTTCCTTCCAGTGATATTGTTTCTGGTTATTTCTTTTGCTGCTATGAGAATCCCCGTCAGCTCTGTTTGAACTACACTGGCACTATTGCTCAAATCTCATTTTATGTTTAGGTTTAAGAATCTGGAGTATATTCCACATCCTGGGCTTTGTTTTGTTTAAGAACCGTCGGTGTAGATATGAATCGTACCTGCCACTTCTGGCTCTTCTATTTGTTCTCTTATAACTTTATATGGCTTTATAGGAGAGGCTTAGCCGGAGTTGTTTAAATAAGATATCGTCGGTGTCGTTCTAATACCTCGTAACCCTCATTTTGACAAAAATGGGGTTTTTACATCAAATTGTTGCGGTTACCCATATTTACCATTACAGAAAACCTCGTAGCCCACAAAATTTTTAAAACTTTAAAAATTTAACTTTTCTAATACCTCGTATAGTAATAGTAATAAATAAACAGAACGGTTTTTGGCTTCTCCTGTAAAATGTTACTTTTGGGCTTACGAGGTATTAGAACGACACCGGCGATATATTAATCCTTTATGACTTTAGTTAAAAATAAAGCAAATTGATAACAACACTTGTTTATTAATATCAAAAAATTTCAAAGTAAACAAAACCTAATAATGTGTATGCCCTCCTCTGGCTCTTAAAACTTCGACACAACGTCTAGGCATAGATTCTATTAGTTGACGAATCGTTCCTTGACGAATATTTTTTCATTCCTCCTGAAGTTGTACTGTTAACACCTGTAGATTATTTGGTTGTTCTCGATCTCGCAATCTTCTTCCCATGATGCTCCAAAGTTGTTCAATGGGGTTTAAGTCAGGGCTGTTAGCTGGCCACTCCATTACAGTAAGATTTTCCTCTTTAATAAAGTTTTGAACAATTCTTGCAGTGTGGGGCCTTGCATTATCTTGTTGTAAAACAAAATTAGGGCATTCTAGATGAGCCAGTGGAACGACAATAGGTGCTAATATCTCATCGATATAACGCCTAGCTGTTAGAGAGTGCCATTTTCAAAAACATGTAAGCATGCGTACGCCCGTTCAATTGAATACCTCCCCAAACCATTACAGAACCACCGCCAAAAGCTCTTACATTACATCTTGCATTGCAATCCAAAAATCGATGAATATCCCAATTTACAAGTTCTGCTGCAAAATTTCTTCTTGCTCTACGATGAGCTGGTGTTAAATGAGGAACTTGACTTCTTGAGTGTAGTTGGGCTTCATGAAGTCTGTTACGTGTAGTCTGTAGAGATATGCGTCTATCAGTGGCCTAAAAATGTAAGTTTCTTATCTGTGTAGCTGTTCTTGTCCTATTTTGTAGGGATAATCGTACAATTTGGCGGTCCTGTCGGGGCGTAGTTATTCTTTCTCGTGGTGTATATGGTCTTCTACGGATAATACATACAGTATGGTTCAAATGAAAGGAATACATTCATTATAATGGAAGTAGGTTGTTTTTCGAAAAAATGCTCGGACAGGTCAATTTTGTTTACTAAAAGCGCAATTTTTTAAATAGAATTTAATTTTCCCCCACTTCCCATTTTTGGGCAGTGACGTCATTGACAATTTTTTTAAATAGTTACCCTAATTTTTTTTCTTGATGTTGTTAGATCTTGCAATTTCCTACTCGGAAACATAATATTTGAAATATCTGACATAACAATTTTTTTTGAATAAAAGTCATTTAAAGATCAGATACATAAATTTTATTTTATTTTGAAACACAATAAATGAATAAAAGATTATTTGTAATTAAGTGCTTCATCTAAAATAATAATAATAATAAAAAGAATTTAATGACAATTTCACAAATTCTTTTTTATTATTATTATTAATTATTTTGTTAGATTAAGCACTTAATTACAAATAATTATCTTTTATTCATTTATTGTGTTCTCAAAATAAAATAAAATTTATGTGTCTGATCTTTAAATGTCTTTTATTAAAAAAAAAATGTTATGTAAGATATTTCAAATATTATGTTTCCGAGTAGGAAATTGCAAGATCTATCAAAATCAAGAAAAAAAAATTGGGGTTACTATTTAAAAAAATTGTCAATGACGTCACTGCCCAAAAATGTGAAGTGGGGGAAAATTGAATTCTATTTAAAAAATTGCGCTTTGAGTAAGCAAAATTGACCTGTCCGAGCATTTTTTCGAAAAACCAACGACTTCCATTATAATGAATTTATTCCTTTCATTTGAACCATACTGTATGTCTTGAAATCTATTCCAGATTCGGTGAATCGTTGGTTGACTTGTTTGAAGCACGTATCTCTGCGAACGTCCTCTTGCTACTTCAATTTCACTTAGATGTCTTCTTTGTACAATAGGCCTTCCAAGAACATCGTTATTCATAATTTCAAGTCAATTATTAATGTTACAAACAATTTAATTGGTGTACAAAGTAAAACTGAATGTATCAGATACTTTTAATTTTTTGCGTATATATTTTTTTTCTCACCTCCTCATAAAAAAGTTTTGTTTTTTATATTGAAAATATGCATTTAGGTGTGCTTATTTGTATAAATTTTAATGGAAAATGCGGGGTGCATTTAAAAAGATTTAGATAATTAATTCAGTGATACCTATTTCGTTGTGACTAGTTTATATATAAAAAAATACGATTACTAAATTGGGGTACAACAAAAAAAAATAATAGTAGTAACCTTATTTAACGTCAGAACTCTGTGATAAGTTGAATTTTTGATACGTACTCATGATGTTTTTAGGCTATTTTAAACCTTATAAAAATGTGTAATAAAATTAACTACAACTGCAAATAAATACATTATTTTACTTACATTAGGAGTTTTAAAAATGCTCTGGTCGATTTTGACAAAATTTTTCTTCGGCTGTATATATCTGTAAAATATCTCATTCTACACCTTGGAACAAAACAAATTCTGTTTTTATGCTTTTTGTCACTCATGTTAGGCACTTCTTTTCAAATTTTTTTGTACTTTTTCAGCAATATTTGTAGAAAAACACCTACAATTTGACGAGTTTCATAAAAACGAGGATGGAAATTTGGCCATTGCCGATTAAACTCTTCTCTAGTCTTCATAGTAGAATAAATAACATTTATTTGCTCAAATGACTTTGCAGGGACCGCATGCCGCTTTATATCGAGTATTTACATGTTATACGTGTTTCCTTTGCATTAATTGATCCTTTTGATTAACTTTTTCGAATCTCCGCGAGTATTGTAGCTGCACGGGATTTTTCGTATTTAACTTGTGTTAGGCACCTGCCTATTCCGTGAGTACTAAGGGGATGTACTTTATAATGAAAATTTCATGACGTCCCAAAGCAGGAGAAAATAAGAATCGATTTTAAAGAAAAGATAGGTTAGATTAATAAACAACCGCATATTATATAACATTAGATATATTTATTATGTTCAATACAAAAAATATTTATTTAATACATTATTAATAATTAATATAAGAGTACTTACATCACAGTATTATTTTTTAGATATATAAAATTATACGTTTTAATAAATAAAAATTGTATCTAAATAATTATTAATACCTAATTGTAATATTGAGCTTTAATCTAAAGTTTAAAACATATTTATTGTGGAGGCACCGATTTTCCAACAAATAAATATAATTTCAATTAAATATAAATAAAAATGTATTTTAATTGCTAATAGGCTTAAACCTAAGATTAATAATAATAAAAAGTCGAAAAAAATTACTTATTCTTTTTTTAGGGATATTAAAAATTAATATCCCAAACTGTTAACTGAGGTTCACGCATGTATCACGGTGGTATGGACGTATCAGCCCAAAACCGTCATATGTAAAACATCAAAAATGAAGTGCAGAGAATTTTAATTTCTTCCAAAACCTTTTCATATGCACCAATACCATCATACCCCATTTACCAACAAGTTTTATTTTGTTCTTTTTTCACTTTAGAATATCAACAGGTATACTATTTAAAATCTTGCAACTAATAATAGTAATAACGCACATGACGATGATATGTAACGAATTTGTTCAAAGTCAAAGTCGACGATATTAAATTTTTATAAAGTCGTGGAAGTGACTATTTTGACGCCGTGCACGAAAATGGTCGGCGGTAGATTTTTGGAAAATATCTCTAAACTGTCGTAAAAACCGTCCAATTCGGCATCGTCGCTGGGCGGCGCCGGAAGGTAGATAAAAGTAATCGCCGTCTCAGCAGTTTGTTGTAATATCAATGTGTTCACGCTAAAAAGAATAAAAACGATATCAACATCAAAATTATTTAATTCAATTTAATTCAATTTAATTCAATTTAATTCAATTTAATTCAATTTAATTCAATTTAATTCAATTTAATTCAATTTAATTCAATTTAATTCAATTTAATTCAATTTAATTCAATTTAATTCAATTTAATTCAATTTAATTCAATTTAATTTAATTCAACTTAATTCAATTTAATTCAATTTAATTCAATTTAATTCAATTTAATTCAATTTAATTCAATTTAATTCAATTTAATTCAATTTAATTCAATTTAATTTAATTCAACTTAATTCAATTTAATTCAATTTAATTCAATTTAATTCAATTTAATTCAATTTAATTCAATTTAATTCAATTTAATTCAATTTAATTCAATTTAATTCAATTTAATTCAATTTAATTCAATTTAATTCAATTTAATTCAATTTAATTCAATTTAATTCAATTTAATTCAATTTAATTCAATTTAATTCAATTTAATTCAATTTAATTCAATTTAATTCAATTTAATTCAATTTAATTCAATTTAATTCAATTTAATTCAATTTAATTCAATTTAATTCAATTTAATTCAATTTAATTCAATTTAATTCAATTTAATTCAATTTAATTCAATTTAATTCAATTTAATTCAATTTAATTCAATTTAATTCAATTTAATTCGTTTTAATCCAATTTAATTCTATTTACTTCGAGTTAATTCAATTTATTTCGATTTAATACGAATTAATTCTATTTAGTTTGATTTAATTAGATTTATTTTAATTTAATTATATTTAATTCGAATTAATTTGATTTAATTCAATTTAATTCGATTGAATTCAATATAATTCGTTTTAAATCGGTTTAATACAATTTCATTTCATTTAATTCGATTGAATTCAATTTAATTTTATTCAATTCGAATTTGAGTTAATTCAAACTAATTTGATTGAATTCAATATAATTCGAATTAATTCGTTTTAAATCGATTGAATTCAATTTAAGTCCTTTTAATTCGATTTAAATCGGTTGGATTCGATCGAATTCGATTTTATAAACCGTTATTCATCGTGTATTAAACTCACCTTTTGGCGTATCGTTCGTTCTCGTTCCCGTGCGATTCGATCACGTTCTTCCAACCGTTTACCGGAAACAATTCTGCTTCGATACGCAACTTCTTCAACAGATTCTCCAATTTCTCGCCGTGACTCTGCGTCGACGAATCGAAAGCGAAATAACTGGTTCTGGCTTCGTCGCAAACGCACACCCTCAATTTGAGTTTGCTCCACAACGGCACCATGTTCACGATGCACGCCAGCTGCATCATGAACAACGATGTCGTATCGAAGGAATCGTTTTCACCAGGGTTGAGGAAGTTCACCGGCCACACGTCGATGTAAGTTTTGCTTCGGACGCTGAAAATTGCCGCAAAATAATAAAACAAAATATTAAAAATTAAAAATGACAAGAAGTTTGTCACATAGTCGTATTTATTTTTGCGCCAGTTTACAATAAGCAACTGGTTGAGACAAAGACAAATTAAAAAGTGTTGTAAGCACATTCTACAACAATCTAGAAAAAAATTGAATTAAACATTTTGTGAACTCTATATTCCTGGACTATTTTAAACATCGGAGAACTTTTAGACGACAGAAATCATCAGGTAAATCCGAAAATAGTGGTATATTACAATGAATCAGTGGAGAGAAATAAAACAGCTTGTCCTTCTTACCTCCTGGCGTCTTTCCTTAATTTACTAAAGTTCCTACAAAGGCATAAATTTTTGTTCATTCTCAAAACTTCTCTCATCATTCGAACGTATTCAGAAGATTCCAAAACGCTTTGGGTTTTAAGTGGAAATACGTCATTTTCGAAATCGTGGTTTTGATATACGGAATCGTTACTGAAAAGAAAACAGAAACTAATTCGAATTCCTATAACGCCAAAATTAAATAAAACTGTCAACGATACCTTTGCAAAAAATCCTGCGGCTCTTCATTATCCAAAAACCCTAATATTACAGTATTGGGCTTCATGGCACCCATCCCGGACAATCGCATCAAATGCAGCAACCCCTCTCTCACGCTTTTAGCCACCGTCAACTCCACGAAAGCCTTCACCTTCAAATGATCGATCAAATTCAACCAATGCGGCACCTGAGCCAACGTGGGATCCTGCGTGTTACTATCTCCAACGACCTCTTCGGTTTCCACGTGTCCCAACACGTACAACCCGCCTTTTTTCAGATCGTTCACGAAATCTATCAGAGGACAGGAAGATCTTGGACTGTTGACTAATAAAAGAATTTGCGGTCGCCAAAATTTGACGTGATCTTTACGGGAATCTAACAGTAACAAATATTTGCGAACTTGATGGAATATTAGCGCTTGGGATATGCTGCCCCATTGGGCTTCTTTGGACGGGGAAAACAGATGCAATCCGACCACTAATATCAAACATAATAGGATACTGCAAGCCGCGTATATAGCGCTGGTTACAAACATCATAATTAGAGTACCTAATAGAGCAAAGAGAGCTGTGTGCCAGGTGAAATACATGAACGTGGGACGGAAATTTGGGGCTCCGGCCACTTCGAGACCGAGACAAGCTACGTTGGTGGCTAGATAGCTCAGTAGAAATAGAACGGTGTTTAATTGAGCTATGAGATTGAGAGAACCGATTAACAGTACGAATTGTACTAGTAGAGCTGATAGTAATACTGCTGCCACCGGATTGCCTTTCCACGTTCCTTTGGTGATGAAATTAAATATGTTACCTGAAAATAAATTCAAGTTAGGTACCCTCGTATTTATATAGCGCAACAGAGGAATCAGAAAATTAAAATATTACTGGATACAAAGAATTCCTTTAAGAGCAGATTAAATCTCTCGTTTTATGCTAACAGCCTAAACGCTAAACTATATCCTGAATAGTAATAATAGACGTATGCTATTTTACGATATGTTGGAAATATATATAACATATTTCACTGATACCTCAGACCATCCCTGCTCAATCATTAAAACCTTCTAGATAACAATAAAGCGCTATATATCCATCTCTCTCACGTGCAGAAGCGACGAACAATTTGAATTTTAAATACAGTTGCAATTCTTGTTATTATTGTGTATTTTCCGAAAAATTCACAAAAATCGGATTAAAAATAAAAGCTCAGAGGGTATTAAAATTGTTTCATAGTGTTCAATTTGCTCTTAAAGGAGATAAAATGGAACAATAAAAAAAATGAAGACAGAATTTTGATGCCTTAATGTGTAGATTTTTATATCAATGTATTTATAATAGCGCGCGCGATTCCTCTGCTGCACTTTGTACTTCAAACGTCGATACAACAAAAAACAGCTCTTACCGAAAACCTTATCCTTAGCCAGAGCTTCCATAACCCTAGAAGCTCCGATAACGTTGCTAAGAGCAGCCGACCACGTGGCAGTTAACAAACCAATCGCAACGCTTGGCGGAAACGCGCTAATGCCTGACATGTAAATATAATCGTTCTGCAACAGTTCCTTAGTACATGTGGCTGCTGTCAGCAAAGATATTGACACATAAATGACGAAAGTGAAACCAATAGCAGAAAGGGTACCTCTGGGTATCGACTTACCGGGACTCTTCAGCTCTCCTAGAAAGAAATTGAAAATACAAGGGAGAAACGATTATAACCAACATATCAATTACTCATTGACTTACCGCTCATATTAGCACCCGCCATGATACCTGTAACCCCAGAAAACAAAACTCCAAATACGCTAGCGAAAGTAACTATCTCTCCTTTTGCCGTATAGTCGCGGCCGTAATGGGGATATAAATTACTGCTCAAGGTAGAACCTAGAAGTCCTGTGTAATTCCTTCTTACGTGATCAGTCACGTTTTGTATTAAGGTGTTGGAATCGGGTATAGGTACCTATAATAAGGATTGCAATCAGAAAGATATGAAAGCAAAATACACAATCTACAGACCTCAATAAAGCCTTCATAAAAAAAAGAAAAAAACGTGATGGCTAGACATCCGCAGACCAACACCAATATGAACACAGTAGTTTTAGCAAACATTGAAGCTCCAATAAGACATATCAAAAGATTCAAAACGTTCAAGGAACTGCAGTACAAAAATCTGTACCACCTGTCATCTGGTAAAACGCCCTCAAGTAGATAACCTACAAATATTGTATTAAAAAAATAAAAAATATATTTTTTAATGTAATTACCTGAAGGTCCAAAATTTTCAACTAAACCCTCAACGCATCCAGATATGTAGAGGGCGCTGCTGACTATATTGGCGAGGAAAAATAGAGTACCAATGGATCCACCAAATTCAGGGCCTAATGTTCTACTAATCATGACTGAAAATAAGTATACAGGGCACGATAAATGATATAGGGTGCTTCCAAAATGATGTTACTTACAATACGCGCCTCCTCCTTCAACAGCTCCATTTGTCGATATAGCACATACAGACATCACAGTGAATACAAGTATTGAATAAGCTATTAGGAATTGAGTTAAAGTTATCAGTAAACCAGCATTTCCCACTATGTAACCTTTAAAAAAATATCTCGTATTTATATATTATATTTCTTCTTTATTTAGCAAAGCTAATAACATATTACAATTAAATAAAATTAAAAAAACATATATCTAAAAAATAAAACAAAATGTAACACTTATAATCTCTTAATTTATATTTAAAGGTATTAAATGAGACGACATTTCTGAGTTCTAGGGATAACTCATTAAAAGTTTGAAGTCCCTTAACAGAGAAGGGGTCCGGAAATAAACAAAAAGACAACACAGGCACTTCGCCTAGGATTTTAGTTTGTTTTCATGCTCCTTACCTAATAGGTTTTGTACTATTATATAAGAAAATATGTAGAATAATTACTGTATTACCGAATAAATTGAAAATTGAAATTGAATTAAATTTTCAATAATACCAAAACTTTTCAACTTTTTAATTAGTAGATATTTACTGTTTCAATTGCTTTTTGTAGGTCTAAAAAAGAAGCACCTGTAATTAATTTGTCATCAAGATTCTCTGTTTCCAATCATTTAAAAAATTTTGATATATACAGATAGTGACTGCAGGTATACTGGAGGGGTCTTAATCTTTATAAATAAAGACATAACGGTTTTGTCTTGTAAAAAATTTAGTGTCCAAAAAAATATTGGGTGATAATGCTGAGATTTTATTTTGAAAACTGTATTCATTTAATTGTTAGTTTATACAGTATATGTTCAGACTTTTTGGATTTTTTTGAAAGTTTTTCAGATAGTTTTTTATAAGAAAATTGTAACGGAGGATTTTAATAATAGATTGGCTATCTGATAACTCAAATAGTTATAGACTAAAAAACTATATTAGTGATATAGATTTTAGAAATGTGGTAACTCAACTTACTCATCCTGCTAACAATGACAATGGAGGCACACTTATTGACTTAGTAATAACCAACTGTTTAAATATAAGGACTGAAATTTATCTCACTCCTAAAATAAGTACCCATTTCAATGTCGAGGTGTATAGAGATTTTCAACCAATTAATAATAAGAAGTCTCAACCAATTAATAATAAGAAGTCTCAAACAATAAAAAGTCGAGGTAGAGTAACTGATTTTGAAAAAATAAATTATAAGTTGTCTCAGGTCAATTGGAATAAGTATACTATCAATATTAATGAGAGATATATTAACTTCTACCAACATTTAATGACAGTATTTGATGAGGTGGCACCAAAAAGACCTGTTAAGATATTTTCTAATTATAAAGACTGGTGGAATCAGAAAGTCAGAAATGCTATCAGGAATAGGGATGATAGTTATAAAAGGTATGTATCTAACAAAACTGAAAAAAATAGGCAAATATACAAACAAAATCGAAACATAGAGCAGTTAAGAGTTATTAGAAAAGAAAAAAGTAAATATTATGAACGGCAAATAAGTGAAAATAAACAAAATTCTGTCAAACTTTGGAAAGTTATGAAAGACCTTTTGCCTAAAAATAAATAAAATAGCTTAACGGAAATAGAGATAAATGATAATCTAATAATAAAGGATATAATTGAGATCCCCAATGCTCTTAACAACTTTTATATTGATAGTATAAAATAAATTATTTCTAATATAAATCGTAATAATAGAAATTTTCCTGTAACACTTAAAAATAATCATGTGTTTTTTAAGACATTTAACTTCATTGACATTGACACAATGAGAGAAATTATTTTTGACTTACCCAATAAAGGAAGTTCAGATGAAATAAATGCGTCCTTTTTAAAAAACTGTTTTGAAAACATAGCGTTGCCATTTCTTAATATCAAAAACGCCTCCTTAGAAATGAATATAGTTCCTACAGCCTTGAAAACTTCAGTTATCATACCAATCCCTAAAGTCTCAAATTCAAATAGAGCAGCATACTTAAGACCTATTAATATGCTAAGTACAAAAAAGAAAGTATTAGAAAAATTTGTTTATAATCAACTTATTCATTACTTAGAGGAAAATAATATATTTAATAGTATACAGTCTGGTTTTCGAGGAAAGCATAGTTGTGAAACAGCAATACAATATGTCCTAGATCACTTCAAGCAAAAAAAAAATAATAAATTAATTACTGGTGCTCTATTTCTTGATTTACAAAAAGCCTTCGAAACTGCAGATTGTACATTACTTATTAGTAAATTAGAAAGTTTTGGAATAGTTGATGATGCATTACAGTGGTTAATAAAATATTTAGATAGCAGAAAACAGAAGCTAAAGTTTAACAACATTACTTCAGATGAAATCCAAAATGAACAAGGTGTCCCGCAAGGAAGTGTGTTGGGACCATTATTGTTCCTCTTGTACATTGATGATATAGCACGTGTCGCAGGAAACTGTTACATTATCTTATTTGCGTGACACTTTGATCTATTTTGCTTCAGAAAAGTTACATGAAATAATTGAAAATATAAATAACACACTAAAAGAAATATTTCAATGGCGCTGTTTTAATTCATTAAAAATTAATAACAATAAAACTAAGTTCATGATTATAGGAAATGACAAAAACTATCAAGAATATAATATTAGTAACCTAAAAGTAAATATAGAAAATAGTAATATTGAAGTTGTTAAAAAATTTAAATATCTGGGTGTCATAATTGACTATATGTTACTATTTAAAGAACATGCTAATTATGTTATTAAAACAATATCATTTAAAATCAGCTATTTATATAGATGCTCAAAACATCTTAACCAATGGTCTTTAAAGCTTCTTTATAAAAGTTTAATTCTGCCCCATTTTACGTATTGTGCCACAATTTTATATTTGCTAAACCAAAATGAAATAAACAGGTTCCAGAAACTTCAAAGTAGGGCAATGAGGATAATACTTTCTTGTGATAAAAGAACTCATATAAAAACAATGTTACAGGATCTTGAGTGGATGTCAGTTAAAAATTACATTCTATACCTAACATTAATTTTTATTTTTAAAATTCAATTAGAAATGATGCCTTCATACTTACTTGAAAAAACAGATTACAATTTTCAATTTCACAATTATAATACAAGAAATCGGACTAATTTTCGTATTCAACATGTCGTTATAAGTAGGAGTGTCCAAAATTCGGTCTTTGTCAAGGGTCTGCAGGCTTACAATGAGTTACCAGTTGAAATTAAAAATACTACCTCATTAAATAATTTTAAATATAAACTTAAAAACTATATTATGATGACACAAAGGATAAAAATAAATTGTAGATATAGAGAGATTTTAATTGTAAATATACATTTAATTTTATATTTTACATGTATATATATATATTTTTTATTCATAGTTAGACACTAATTTATTAGTTTTTTTTTTCTATTCATATTTAGACACTATACATAATGTATAAACTATACTTATTGTTGTAATAACTGTACTATTTTTGTATTAGCAAAGCTAAATAAAGAATTTAATAAAAAAGAACATATTTTAGTGGTCTTGCAGCTGTGTCTACCCCGAAAACCTAATTGATTATTATTAAACATATTATTGACTTCCAGATATTGAATTAGTTGATTATATACTACTTTCTTTAAAATGAAGGACACACAGTATCCAAAATGTGTCAAGATAATAACATTAAAACCTCACACCAAGCTTTCTTAAAAGAATTATCATCTGGATTCAAAACTCCTACAGGTAAAGGACGATTAATTTTTGTACTTATTGGAAGTTGAAAGTGGCAAATGCTTTTTGAATAAAAAAAAACAATTGAGAACCAGAATTCAAAATTTTTGAAGAGTATTCTGAGAAAATGATAAAATATATTCCAAATGGATAAAGCTAGTTATTACTCACGACTAATTGAAAAAAAAATGTAATTAACAATGTTATGAGGTTTTCCTTTCAATGAATAAATACAACAGTACCTAATTTATTTACCTATTTTTAAGTATTATTGTCTATAATGTTCGACTGTACTGTAGACAACAGGAAAAAATCATAATTAAAAAAAATACCTATAATAGAACGTTGATACATACCCATTCGAAGAAAAATAAGTGCTGAAAACATAGACAATGTAACTGGGGCAAAAACTCCAGCAAAGGTCCCCAAAGTTCTAGTACTAGATTCTTCTGAAAATGTTCCGAATTCCACATAACCCATGCCATTATTACTACCAGAACTGTCTTGATTTCTATTAAATATACCAGATATTTTCCTTATTAAATTGTTGCCTACCAATGGGGCGTCATTGTTCGTCGAGCCCTCTTCTGGTGCGAGCATTTTTAAAACGGTATCAGTTTACTACTGATTGATTCGTTTATAATTCCGTCACATAACAGCGTACTTACTCTTGTTTATTATTTAATTTTGTAATCGTAATCTTTTAAATAGTTTCCGTTCCTGGCAAATTAATTTTTTTTGATAAATGATAAGTCTGACATCTGGAATGAGTCATATGGTAAACAAAATTCAAAAGTTAGAAGAGGCTATATTGCCGGGAACGGCAACTTAAGCAGCTGTCAGAAAAGCTTGACCAACCAAGGATTTACTATTACAACAGGATAGATTATTTACTATGTACGTCATAACGCGTTGACGTCACCGTTGTTTAATATTTTAACACAGCTTAGGGTGAGATTACAGAACGTCTGCAACTTTGCAGATCTGCAAATATGGCGGCAACTTTGAAAATCTGCAAATATGGCGGCAACTTTGAAAATCTGCAAATATGACTGACTTACACATGCAAGTATCAAGTTTTCGCATTCCAAATTTGGGTTTAGTGTTGTTGGGGGTAATAAACCACAATAAATATTGCGAATTTGCAGATATTTTTTGGAATACTTGCATTTGTAAGTCCGCTATATTTGCAGATCTGCAGACGTTCTGTAATCTCACCCTTAATTTGTTAATTTCCTCTGGGGTGTTAATTACATTCAAAGAGAATTCGATTTATATCTGGTTAGAGTCTGTATATCGTGAAGAATGTGTGCTATGCTATTGCTACGTACAAAAACAAGTTTAATTTAAAAAGAAAAGAACAATTACTTCACTACTTTCCAAACGTCAACGATTTGGTGTCTTTTACTGTTCAAAAGGAATGGGTAAATCGCTGTCTGTAGAGAGTGTCTTCCCGAAAGTATTACTTTCACATCTAATAAAAGTTTATTTTTTTTAAATAATTGCAATGTTTCTCGTTTCTTTAATAGAAGTTATCAAAGAACCCTCGTATTTTTAAAGTGACGTACGTAGTGTCTCTAAAACCGGCAACGGATTAGTAATTCTCCTATTTCTTGGAAGGAATTTTATCAGTTGTCTCCATAGATAATTGTCTTTGGAATTATTCTCAAAAGTTAGTACATGACAGGAGTCCTGTCTTTGAAATGGTAAATAAATTGTACAATGTGTATTTTCATGTAAAATAAAAGAAATAAAAACAGAATAACATAATTATTTAATAAAGCTTCATATTTATCCACAAAAAATGATGAAACAATTACTTAAAAGGTATTTTGTATTACTTACAAATATATACATTTAAAAATAAAACAATTGTTAACGTTTTTCTAAATTTTTGAATTTTGCTTCCAATCTCTTTCCATAGGCATCCAATTTGTATGCAGCCTGTTCCAATTTTATCACACTGACTTCTATATTGTCTATTTGTTGTAATAAAGGAACCAAAGAATCATCTAAAAAAGTTATAGTCATTTATACTTTGTACTATTTAAAATAATTATTTCAATTCCTCACATTTCTCATTTAGTTCGTTCATGCTCTTCTTTACGTTAATGGCGAGATTCTTCATATCTGAATATTTGGTTATTACCGATTGATTCATATTTTCCAAAAGTCTGTAATCATCTAATGTTGATGTCAATTCACCATACAAATATTCAGAAGTTTTGCTAAATAAGGTGTTGGCCAATTGGCTCAGGTTTGGATCGTGAGGATCTAATGCTTCGAAACTAGAGGTAGAAGTTGATAGTGTGGGGCCTAAAAACAGTGAAAATAGACCATACATGTCTCTTAGCTATATTTATCTTAATTACCTCTAATTGGAGAATCTGTTAATCCTTGGTCTTCGGACATTGTTTAAGTTTATTGTATTTGACAATTAGTTCTTTATTTTGTAAAAGGTAGATTGAATTAAATTATAACATTTGTAATAAACTTTGAGAATAAAATATTTTCTGTTTATGTTGATATTTTTTGTTCATTGACCTGACACTCCTGACAGATGTCTGAACAGCTGACACTGACAGTATCAAGGATATATACTATTAAACAGGATAATCTAGTTTCTCAAATCTGTTTAAAAAGTGAACTGAAGTGACGTTCCTGAAGAACCTTGCACACAAAACCATCGCTTGGAAACAGAAAACAAATTTTAATGGTTTTAGATAGAAATCAACAGGCTACACTTAGAAGTTTATCTTACATCCTTTTATATGTTCCTATATTTTTTTTAAATTAATTGATTGTTGTAAATAATTAAACGAAGTGAATGATTTACCTTTACAGCATTAATATTAATTAGCATAAACTATTGAATAAATCAACCTGACAACTCTGACTGAAATAACAACTTGACAATTTAGATCAAATACAGTGAGTCTCAAATATAGTAAATTGAATTAATAAATTCTATATGACATTGATTTTTTTTAAGTAGCACAAAAAAAATCTTCCCAGCATGCCTACTTTAAATAGTTAGGGCCGATTCCACAGTCATGTTAAATAAAGTTTGAATTATTGTAAAAATGTTTAGCAATTTACACTTCGATTACCACAACGGTGGAATTGGTCCTTAAATAACTAAAATGTTTTAAGCAATACATTAATCGAATTTATTTTGAATATAATAAATATGCTAGTATTCAACATAGAACAGGAAAAGAATTAAAGTCTCAAACACAAATAACGACAAAAAAGGAATTCTAATAAACTGATAACAAAAAAATATTAGCGTTTAGGTTCTATAGTGACATCATTAGGAATGCGCTTTCAAAATGCATGGTAAATGGAAATAATCTATCCTCCTGTTATGTTATAATCATTGGGTTTTTGCATCATATGAGTGAAAACCACATTAAAACATTCCAAAAAATCTCCTGTCTACATTTTTATATTTATCCCCCAAATAAAAATTAAAGGTTATCGCCTGTTTCTAACTGGTTTACCATCAATAATTCCATCAACTTCACATTAATAAAGGTAATAAATAATATTTAATTAAAATTACCTATCTTATATAATTTTCTAGTTTTAGATTTCGAATGTTTTCGTTTTGCTTCCTAACCCCCCGATAACCGCAACAAATAACAACAGTACACATACCAAATAACGAATTTACTGATAATGTAGTTTAATTATCAATTTCAAGCGGAAAAATATGCAAAATCGTAACTATCGAAGATGATCTTATTCAGATTATTGAGGACCTCGGAAGTTTTTCGGTTCAAACATTGTTATCCCTTGTATCAAATCTCTAAACTTAAAGGAAACAGAAATCTACGAATAAATATTACGGAAAGTTATGAAAGAACGAAGAAAGAAAGATTCGATACGGATTTTCCGATACATTTTTCAATTATCAGTATAGCTGCGGGTATCGTATTTTGCGACATTGAAATTTTAGAAAGGGATGAGAAAAGGTTTTTTAAATCTTGCTTCTTTGGCCTCAGTCACGAAGTTCAGAAGTATATTTAATTTATTTATTTATTATATACATATATTAAAACTATTTTTAATTACAGGTTGATTAAAAAAGGAATCGATATTAATAAAAGACATCATTTAGGTTGGACTCCTTTATTAGTAGCAGCAGTTAATGGTCGTTATGAGGTTGTTGAATGCTTATTACAAGCTGGGGCAGATCCCAATCTATCTGATGAGTATATTAATCCTAATCGGACTGCCAATGAGAAAGGAATGCATCCACTAGAAGGTAATTTACCAGATTTTTGCTGATTATCTAAAAAAAATTGTATATAAACTAGACTAAATATATAATTTATTTAAGAAGAAGAATAAACATTTTATAATACAAAATCAAATAAATTTACAATGAGAAATTATTCTTAAAATATGCACCTAGATGCAAAAACATCTGTATGTAGAAATAGATTAAAACTACATAAAATTAACAATACCTATAAACTAAACATTTGATGATTAAAAGGACATAAATATATAAGACTAGGTATTTATAACAAATTTGAGAGGTATAAATATTTATCAAATATAAATTTTCTGATCGCTTTAGAAAAGGTTTTTATGTTTTTTATTTGTCTGATATTTTCACTTAAAGAGTTGTATACTTTTGGCCCAATTGAAGAAATGAATCTTTTATTTCCATCATATTTAAAGAATGGTACATTTAACATTCTTCTCTTTTGTTTTCGGGTCATATAAGAGTGGTTTACAAAATTTTTATTTTTCAGTTTGAAATAGAACATACAGCTAGAGTGAAAGTATAGTGATATTGCGTTTGGAATGGATTCATTGTATAAGAGGGTTGTTGAAAACAAACAACTTTTATGATTTATTATCTTTAAGATATAATTTTGAATGATACTTAAAGGATGTAGGGCATTGTCATATAAACCACCCCATATGATTATGCCATATCTAATTAAGGATTCAATGAAAGAAATATATATCAAGTGTAATAACTTTTTATTTAGAATGTTACGAATTAAATAAGATTTATATATAAGTTTTCTTATTTTGTTTGTTAAGTACTGAACATGATCAGTCCAATTAAGATTTTTGTCAACTATTATTCCCAAATTTTTGGCATTTTCCACTTCTTTAATGATGAATTTGGATTCTTCAATACAAATCTGTTTGAAGTTAGGGCTGTTAGCATCTGTGAGTGAGAATGCCATATATACTGTTTTCGATATATTTAAAGATAGTTTATTATAATCCAACCAGTCTTTCATAATTCTTACCCCTTTAACCACTTTTAATTTTACAGCCTCCCAGGTTTTACCTTCAAACATTAATACGGTGTCATCTGCATAGGATATTGCTATACCATTTAGATCTAAGTTTAAAAGAGAGTTAATATATATGATAAAAAGAATTGGACCAAGGACAGTTCCTTGTGGCACACCTATTTGAATTTTAACAGGATTACTAAATTCATTTATAATTTTAACTATCTGTGTTCTCTTGTGTAGGTAGTTTTCAAAAATTTTTAAAACCAATCCTCAAATGCCATAATGTTCAAGAACAGTTAGTAGTTGCTTGTGAGGAACAGTGTCAAAAGCTTTCGCGAGGTCGATAAAAACAATAATATTTTTATTTTCATTCTCAAGACTGTTTTTTATATTAGATATCAATTCATACATGGCATCACAAGTGCTAACACTTTTTGGAACCTGAACTGTTTAACATTTAAAATCTTTTTATCAATTAGATATTCGTATAATCTTTTATTTAAGCATTTTTCAAAAATTTTTGCAAAATTTGTAATCAGACTTATTTGTCTGTAATTTGACACATCTTTTTTGGATCCATTTTTAAAAACTGGATTTACAATTGATATTTTAAGTTCTTCCGGTATCTTATCTGTTGTAAAGATTAGGTTTATAATGTGCATTAGAGGCTCTATTATGTATCAGTGACCATTTTTCAACATTCTAGATGTAATTCCGTCAATCCCAGGAGCACCATTATTTTTTAACAAATTTTTATGTTCTATTAATTCATTTTTATTGACAGGATTTAATGCCATTGAGTTGATTAGAGATGGATATCTTATTAGGAAGTCATCTACAGAATTGATTTTAGTTGCCATATCTATACCAATTTTTGAAAAATAGTTATTGCAGTAGTTAGCCATTTCTTTGTCATTTGTAAATTGTTTATTATTGTTTAGAATATTAAAATCATTGTTTGTTTTATTGTTTCGGTGTTCATTTGAAGCTTCTTTAACTATTTTGAATATTTTTTAATATCATTGTTACTATTTTGAATTTGAATTGTATAATAATCATTTTTAGCTTTATTTATTATTTTATTTAGTTGGTTACGATATATCGTATATATCCTATATTCTCTTAGAAGATTGTTGTTTTTGGTTTTTAATATTTGCTTTTTCATTTTATCCCTATGTTTAATAGACATGATGATGCCTTGACTTATCCATGGTTTTATTTTTTTATAAGTATTATGCCTATTAGGGAATATATTATTTTAATAAATTTCTGGTAGGCCAAAATTGGATTGCTAAGAGAAATGATGTCCCAGTTTACATTTTCTAATAATTTTGTAAATCTATCTATATCGGTGTATGTTGGTTTAATGTATTATGGTTAAAGTTTCTTTCGTTTGTTGTAATATTTAAAAAAATTAGAAGTTAGATCAGTGTCAATTACCAACGATTTAAATGAAAAATTTTTATTTGGCATATTATTTTTTATAAAAATATTATCAATACATGATTTCGTTTCTACAGTAACCCTGGTGTATGAATTATTATATGATACAAATTCCTAAGAAGATAACATTGCCAAATATCTATTTGTTATTTGGTTTGAGGGATCAAGGATATTAATATTAATGTCACCAATAAATATATCCATTCCTAGCCTTCTTGGTATATTATTTAAGAAATTTTTAAAATCTGTAAGAAATGTATCATCTGATATGGATGGAGATTTATAACAAGGCATTACTGTATAGGGCACACCATTATGACTAAATGTTATTGAGCTTATCGTTAAATTTGATAGAGGCAACTTTGTATGTTCTATTTCAAACTGAATGTTGTTTTTAATATATACAACTACACCATCACATTGATTATTCACACTTTCATTAAATATATTGATAAAACCAGGTATAATTAAATTATCAAGTTCAATAACATTACGTGTTTCTCTTAATATTATTATATCCAAGTCCTTTAAACCAAAAGTATCTAAAAATACTAAAAAGCTGTCAAATTTTTTTTTATACTTCTAATATTCAAATACAAAATTATTATTTAATTCAATCTCATTTTTTTCATTTTCAATCTCATTAAAAATATTTAGTTCTGTTATATCCATAAAAGAGAGAAAGATTATTTAAATTGTGGTAAATTAGTAAAAACTATTATAATGTTGAGATTAAATTAAAACAAAAAAGAAAGCAAAGATAAGAAATTAATTTTCACAATAGGTTGTTTTATTTTTAAGAACCTGTTTGAAATATTTCAGAGTATTACACTCTGAATCAATGGCGTAGTGATCAGTTGGATAGTTGGATTTTTTTTGTGTGTCATGGGCTTCAACTGCTAAGGTTATTTCGCCTCGTGTTCTGTGTAGGCTTTGTTACTGTTTCCCAGCACCACTTTAGGAACAGCACTGTTAATTAGCACCCAACAGTGAATGGTCGAGTGGGGAATCCTACCAAGGCATCAGAATTAATTTTAAATAATTAAATTAAATGAAAAAATTCCGGCTAACGGTGGGATTCGAACAGGATAGTTGGATTTAAAATTAATATTTGAATTCTTACAATTAGTACAACACACTTTAGTTTTAGGACAGTTTTCTCTTAGATGTTTTTCAGCACAAAGAGAATAGACAATTTTTTTTATTATGGTAATATCCTTGACACTGATATAGCATTTTGGTATGTCAAGGTCCTCATACACTGTGTATCTTTCCCAACCAATATTAACTTTACCTTCTTGCATTATTTGGTTAAAAACTTTTGGACTACATTCACAAATAATCGTTTTGTTTCCAGTGCGCGGTTTTTTTATAAATACAATTTTTATTTCCTTATCTAGGTTATTTTGATTTATAATGCATTTCTTGATGTCCTCGTTGCTCTTATCCTGGTTAAAATTAGCTATTTTTATTTTCGGTTTCCTCATCTTACTAAGTTCCACATCATAGTTATGACCCAGCTTATTTTTGACACTTTCTTCTAAGACATTCATTCCTTGTTTATTACAACATTTAATAATTAATGCACCTGAATTAAGAGTTTTCATACTCTTAACTCCAACTTTCAATGCTTCAGGTTTAATATTTTTTTCAACATCATTCTTGGTTTTTTTGGTAATTTTGAGGTACTCTTGGTTTAATTATAATTTGTGGATAGTTTATTTGATGTGTTTGCACAGAACCCTTCGTATAAGAAGTGGGTTGTTGAATAGTGGATTTTTCATAATCATTAATTGTAGCCTTCAATCATTTGATGATATCTTCTTTGTCCTTTATTATTTGGTCCTTATCTTTGATATGGTTATTTAGAATATCAACTAAATCATAACTTCGACATTTGATACACAAAAATTTTAATAGTCGTCCTACCATAGGAAGGCACCTTATTTCTGAGGCTGACAGATTTGTACAATCTAAACAAATTAGATTCCTGCAGCAATCACATGGATAGCATGGATTTTTGCATTCCTTGCTAGGTTTCATTTTAATTTTAGGACATAGTTCCCCAGTATTTCTTTAATTGCCGTTTATAAATATTAATACCTCAGAATCATAAATGTTCTCAGTAAACAAACTAAAATAGGATTCCTATTTATTAATAACGTGAATCACATAAGATAGAAAATAGTTGTACCATCTTTAATCTATTATTATAATGCCTCTTGATTAGAAAACAGCTAAAAATAAATATTTTCTAGTTCTAATGATTAGAGATGAAGAATTTTCAAACGCTTTGAATAACAGAGCGACATTTTTGGGTTTTACACCACTACATTATGCAGTTTTAACCGACAATTTTGATGTCGTTAAATTACTTGTGAAAAACGGCGCTAATCCTACATTAGAAAACGACGCTGGCCATTCACCATTGATGTACGCCAAAGATGAAGAGATTAAACAATATTTAGACAAGGAAATTAAAGTTGTAAGTACCCTATACTAATTCTATTATCATAATTAAATCAATAATACAGCGATTCTGTTAGACATTCCTTTGCTGACCATTTTTAATAAATTCTACTTTGGCACTGGAAAAATGAACTATTTACTGATATTACAGTACGAAGAAAAAAAAACTGAAAAAGAACTAGAAGAAAGAAGACGATTTCCTCTCGAAGAACGGCTGAAGAAACACATTGTCGGTCAAGAAGGAGCTATTGCAATCGTGGCAGCGAGTACGTAAACAAAAAATGAACTTCATATATAAATAGTTTATTTACTCAAAAAAAAAAAAAAATAATAATTAAAATCAGGATGTTCATGAACAAAATACACGTAATAAAAAAAAAATAGAGTTTATAAGGCCACGAAAAAGTGTACACAAAATTCAGTGTTTTTTAAAGGTGTACAGGCTCTTAATAATTTGCCTGAAGATATTAAATGTTCTTCAAATGCGGCAATATTTAAAATAAAACTGTGTGAGTACTTGTTGACCAATTGACGTTTTTTCTCTTTCTTCTTCTTTTATTATGTTCTGTATAGTTGACATGTAAGTGTACTGTATCTTATGTATTTTAAATATATGTTGATACTATACTTATGTATTTTTTATATTTTAATTATGAAGATGTAAAAAATAGTTTTTTTGACTAAATAAACTATTTATATAACTTCATATAAATAGTACACAGATCTTTTTAAAATTATATATCCACAATGAGCATTTCTAATTTTTTCCAGCTGTTCGTCGTAAAGAAAACGGTTGGGCAGATGACGATCATCCGCTAGTATTTTTATTTTTGGGTTCTTCTGGTATAGGTAAAACCGAACTAGCCAAGCAATTAGCATCTTACATGCACAAAGGAAAACAACAGGCTTTCATCAGATTAGACATGTCAGAATATCAGGAAAAACATGAAGTAATACAGTAGAACCTTTGATTAAAAAGAAGCAGGAATGTAATGTCAGTTTTACAGGTAGCCAAACTAATTGGAGCCCCTCCAGGTTATATAGGACACGACGAGGGAGGACAGTTGACGAAAAAGTTAAAAAAATGTCCTGATGCTGTCGTGTTGTTCGATGAAGTGGACAAAGCTCATCCTGACGTTCTGACTGTATTATTACAACTATTTGATGAAGGAAGATTGACTGATGGCCAGGGGAAAACCATAGAATGTAAAGACGCCATTTTTATAATGACTTCCAATTTGGCCAGCGACGAAATAGCCAATCACGGTTTAAACTTGAGACACGAAGTCGAGAAGCTTAAACAGGAACGGTTGACCGTTCCCGATTCGAAAGGTGGGTGCTCAATTGTTATTAAATTATAATACATCACCAAGAATTTAAAAAGTTTTCAATTATAACTATATTTTTAAAAATGCAATAAAGTGAATCACATAAGACGAAAAAAGTAGTACCAGCTTTCTTTATTAGCACTGTGTCTTTCATTCAGGCGTTATAACTAAGACATTTAAATTATTTCTTTGACAAAACATGAAAATTAACAGATTGTTAATTAGAAATGATTGTTTTTTTTAGAAGGAGAGCAAAAAATAAGCGATACAATAACTATTTCGAGAAAATTCAAAGACGAGGTGGTGAAACCGATTTTGAAACGACATTTCAAACGGGACGAATTTCTGGGAAGAATAAACGAGATCGTGTACTTTTTGCCATTTTCCAGGAACGAACTCATACAGCTAGTGACAAGGGAAATGCAAACCTGGGCTAAAAGGGTAAGAATAACGAATTTTAGCTAATCATAGTCATAATTTTCATTTCTATCTAGGCCAAAGACAAACACAAAATCGAAATCAGCTGGGACAGGAGCGTCGAATCGGCTCTGGCCGACGGGTACGACGTCAGTTACGGCGCCAGATCTATAAAGTACGAGGTGGAGCGTCGGGTGGTGAACCAATTAGCCGCTGCTCACGAAAAGGGGTTTATCGGTAAAGGTTGCGAGGTGCAAGTGTGCGCTTTTTGGCCGGAAAACGCGGACGCTGCTGAAATTAAGTTGAAGATCAGGAAGAAAGGTTTGGAGGACTATATCGATTTCGATCACGCCAAGGTGTCGTTGAAGAATTTTGCTTCCATGTTTAAATGATTTGTCTGTTTTTATGATTCAGTAATATATTATTATATGCAACGTATCTGAATCGTTGATGTGTTGTTGCAGACAATTACCATATTAGTTTAAATTAATGTAGTTAGAAATAAATCGCTTAATTCGCTTAATTGTCATAGTTAATTGATAATAAACAGATAGTTGTCAAAGTATATTTTCGCTATAATATAGAATATTTAACATTGTTTTCGATTCGGCTCGAAGGACCAAAAACTATGTTAAATATTTTGTATTAGAGAAAAATATACTTCATACTTTGACAATTATATTTTTATTACTTAAACTAATAGAGTGATTTTCTGTAACTAGTTTGGATTTTTGGGTGTGTAGAGTGGATGTGATGAACTAATTTAATAATATGTATATTTTTATCGTCCTTTAATGAAAAGTTACTCTAAATTTTATCGAATTATTATTTTACATTAATTTGTAATTGGATGAAACAAAGTAGACCTTATGTATTTTGATGTGATCTTTTCGAAAAAAAGCAAAAAAAAGATGTAGCTGTTGTTCAATTTTGTTTAAATTAGGAAAAACCGGGGTTTCCATGGTAAAAATGCTAATTATCTAGGCAAGTATCACCCCGATAGTAAAAATAAATGCACCAATCGAAAGAGGAGGCAAAAATAGTTCGGAAATTCATTGCACAGGTAGTTTTAATGGCAAATTTCTCGCCGCCAGAAGTGCTTTTATCAAAAAGTTGTTTTTTCGTTTCTTTGATCAGAACCATGGACATGAAATTTGCGATGAATTTGTTGCGAAATTATAAATGTTAGACATATGTGCCCATGAGAGAAGTATACTTTAAAAATGTTAGGAAATTAATCCTAAGCCTGAGTGTACGTTCCAACTTGGTGATAAGCTTGTTTTTTGTTCTCTAAGATATATATGCATGACAAAAATCGTATTTTCTAGTTACGTTCCGAATGAGACGGGTTGGGTGGAGAAATCTGCAATACTTTTTGAAAAAAATTGCAAAACAATTTTTTCTTGATTTCTCGTACTTTTTTCTTAAATAACTCGAAAACTAATTATCTGAATAAAGAAACTGTTTCCATCAGATGAAAGAGAAAAAAAGACACGAAAAACTGTGGGACATACATTTTTTCTAGAATCCACTGTTTTCTGAGCGCACGTGTGCAAAGATCGGTAATTCTCGCGAGAATTGAAGATACTAGAATTTTCTCGAGAAAAGGGGCGTTTTCTGGCAATTGGGAGAGAAAGCAAGCTTGTTTCTCATTAAACTTACTGATTCTCATATATTTTCAGTCTGTAAAGTGCCCAAATTACGGAAAAAATCGACAGTGAGCTTGTTTTTTCTCCAATCGGATTTAAGAGAAAACCACTCGTTTTACGAGCAATTTTCTAAGCACAAAAAATGCATAGCTTTCGGTTATATTTCGAATGTCATAGGTCGCATTGCAAATCTGCAAGAGTTCGCGAAAACGTGGCAATTTTTTTTTTTAAATGTTTGCCCAATTTTTTCTCTTTCGTTGAATGAATCGACAAGTCGTTGTTCGACTCAACTAAATTTCTCACCATTTAAAAGAACACAGTAGAATATCTGGAAAACTCTGGCCTTTATCTCAACGAGAACCTGAACATTGACTTCTAGGATGAATGTCAATAGAAAACATTATTTATACATTTTTCAGGTGTTGTTGGCAATGCGCGCAAATGGAATGCAAGATTTCGGTCTCGGTTTCTTGTGAATCCCAAATGAAGAGGATTAACTGGCAGCACTGGTTCTAAAGAACTGAAAAAATTATCCCCCCTTTCTTTGCTGACCGTCTGCAGACCTTCCAATCCTGTCGGTCTAAATAGGTAAGTTCACCCTCTGCAAGTGTCTGATGACATAATAAACACAGGCCAGCCATTACAACCTGGAAACAAAAAAAAATTATAGCACTGGGATTGAATTTTCTTAATTTAGACGTACTTACTCAATAAATTGCTAAAGAAGTCCGAAAAACCACGTGACACAGAGCTTGCTGGACACGGTTATTAAAAATCTATGCCGATGAACACTATCAAGCGATTCAATTTGTAGTAATATGACCGTTTAAAGTTTAAACTTGTCGGATAGCGAACGCCGAGACCATGGCTATCCTTGATGCGACGTGCGGCTAATTTTGCGGTAATTCTATATTTTGCACAAAACTCAAGAAACGTCTTATAACAAGTCAGTAAAACACAATTTAATAAATTTTAAGCCTAATAAATTTAGGTATGTAAGAAATTTAAAACTGGAAATCGCAAAAAAATCAAATTACAGAAATGCAGTGTATACACGAGTTTTGGATCCCGTTGAGCGCGTGTAATGGGACTTTTGTCGGGAGAATTCCACAACTTAGAAGAAACATACACACTTTAAACTTTGTATATACATTCAGAAGACATGAAATTGGGGTTTGCTCAATTTTCAGACCAAAAAACTGAAAATCGTCAATTTTAGGCAACTTTTCCCAAAAACCGTGTTTTTTGGTCGTCATTCAATGAACAGTGGTCAAAAAAATAGACAAAATATTTTTACAGAATTTTCCTTAATGTAATCGTATTCTAGACGCAATAAAGTACTCAAAAAAAAAAAAGTTTTGGTCCATTGGGTGCATTTTTGTGACACTTCAAACTTTCGAAAAAAAATTTATTTTTTTTTTTTAGGGAAAAAAATTTGTTTATTTGATATCTTGGTCAATTATAGTCTGCTTTCGGTGAAATTCACACACACATAAGATTTCACATTCAAGAGTAAGTTCTGTAAGTGGCACTAAATAAATTCAAATAGTTTGGCCGTTATAGGCAAACAATGAAATTAGGCCCGCGGTACACTTTACCCTTCCGCCATATGCCCAATTTTGGGATTTCTCTTGCCCCCTTCTGGGAATCAATAGTCACATCCCTTAAGTTTAAAACGCATTTTTGTTTTTTCGAATATCTTAATTTTTACCAAAGTTATTAAGAATTTAGTGTTTGAACATTTAACAAATTCAATTTTTCGACCTTCGCCGCCTCAAAATACTAAACAAATTTCAATCGTCCATACCGCGAGAACGGTGGATCGGATCAAAATTTCTCAAGAGACATGAAAATTAGCATTTTTTCTAAGCTTTCAAATGTCGTAAACTGCGTATTGAAAATATTGATTTATTTCCGACATGCGCCTGCGCAAAATTTCGGCACTTTTGAAAAACAGCTACATTTTATTTTGCCTTTCTTCGAAAAGATCAGCTCAAAATACATAGAATCCATTTTGTTTCATCTAATTACAATTTAATGTAAGCTCAAAACCCGTAATTTAATTCGATTATTATCTTAATCAGTTTTTTATTGCTATAGCAGTTGCATTTGGAACTATGGTCTGCATAGTAATCATTCATGTAACGAATATATATTTTTCGTTTTCCTCCTCCTTTTTTAGTTTCTTTGGCGTCATCATCAAAATAAGTTATTTTTTTCTGTTGATAAACGATTTCAATTATCTAAATACTCTAAACCATGATGTAGATTAAAGTGTATTTAAAATAGAAATAATAGCTGTGACTTAGATATGTAACCGTTTAATTAGAATAGAAAACTAACGTGTATACTTGAATATCAAAGAATTTTTACAGCACGTAGAAAAATTGTGATAAAAATGCGCTGTGTTGAGAAATAGAGTTGCCGTTAGATATTCAAAGTTGTTTTATTTATTGAACCATTGATGTTAGTAAATACGGTAAGAATTTAGACTAATAAAGAGAATAAACTGTGAAGTGTTTCTTTATTAATGAATATAGTTCACAACAATGATTTGGACAATTTAATATGATGAGGATTACAAAAAATATCTGACAAATATAGCAGAATCACAAATATTTTTGGCAATTTATGACAAATATTTGTTTGAAAACAGAATTATCTCTGTACATCAATCAGGTTTTCAAAAAGGTATTAGTACTACTACATCTCTAGCTAGTTTATCAGACATCTTGTCATCAATAGATAAACAGAAAATGTTCCTTTTGGTACTAGTGAACTTTTCAAAAGCATTTGATACTATCAATCACCGTTTGCTAATGGCAAAATGTTACTATCTCTTATCAAAATGTTACCAATTCTTATGAGTACAAGTTAATTTTAATTAGTTTATAAAATTATTTCTCATAGTGCAATAGTTAATTTGAATTTTATTTTAACTGTAAAACAAATCTGTTCTAGTTGATCTAACAAATTAGAGTTTAAACATTACTTTTCATTTTTGACCGACAACAAAAGGATATCCTTTAAATTCTGTAATAATCATTAAAGTTCGCAAGCCCTCTCACCAAGGCAAGGTTTCAATCTAAGAGGAGGAAAAAGTGAAACTTATTGACTATTAATTATATTGAAATTATAAAAATACTAGTTAATTTAACAATCAAATTATTTAGTATAGGTTACTGCAATTTGGAAAAATGTAGCTTAATTGATTAATCTCTTTAACAAACAAAATTGTTATAAATAAAAAATTAAGAATTTGTTAGTACTTACCAACTTTATGCCCGGCGCCTCCACCATGTCACGTTGGGTATAAAATCGGGACACCGAAGATCCTGATATTATACCCAACGTGACACTATTATGGTTTCGACCTAACTACATGCTAATTTATTGAATCACATATGATTAATCGTCGTCAGATAGTACAGGTTAACAATCAATAGTCAGATGTACCGCAAGGAACGGTTTTAGGACCCTTATTATTTTTATTGTATACATCTGATTTATACACTAAAATTAAATATTGTAGAAGCTCAGTTTTTCGCAGATGATACTCAGAAATATCACGATTTCAATTTATGTGACTTTCAGATTGCAACTACTCAAATGAATGAAGATTTAACATCAATTTGCAAATACTGTGACGGCCCACAATTTGCGATTAAATCCATCAAAATTTCAAATTTTAGTTCTTAGCAACAAACTCAACAGAATTAATCTTAAACAACATCTCTATAAAAATTAAAAATGACAATACCTTTTGTAGAATTTGTCAAAAATTTAGGAACTTTTCCGTTTTTGAGTTATCTCCAAAATTTGCACGTTTCCTCAAATATCTCGAATACGGTCCATTTTAGGGAAATCATGAAAAGACAAGAATTATAGAGAATGACATCACAAGTAACTTTTATTTGAAGAATTTTCTTCTCGAAGCGCAGATAACAGATATATAACATAAAATAGAAAAACGATCCCCTATAAAGTGCCCAAAATCTAATTAACTCATTAGAGGATAAATTAAAGCTTAAGTTTAAAAATTAGTGTTTTTTCTTTACCTATTCATGCATTATTAAGTATACAAACATAAAAATTCGTTGACAACATGAGGTCGAAAAAAAAATCATAATTCTTATACTTTCCTTATCCGTAAACAGAGAGAAAAGGAAAAGACGAACCGATTTGAAAGCAGTTTAAAATAAAAGCTTTCAAGTCAACCCTTGATAACCTTTCTGATATTTTCTAAATTTATTGGGTACTACTCTACGTTCCTCACAATCTGGCATGGAAATTTTCCAGTACCTCAAATACAATTTCTTCTAAAAATGTTGTAACGTAATGTTAATTCTATAATAACACAGGCCCGCGAAAATTTTGTGATCTAGCCATTTTTTTTTTCACCTATTTACAACTTCTATATAGCTAAAATAATCCCCTTCTTATTCTATCACGTAAACTTTTTTTGTAAACTAGTATCGAGGGTGTTATCCCTGAACATTACAAACAAATTAATTTGAATTCCTTGTTTTTGTTCAAAACGTTGAGACACTTTAACACCTCGTTAAATTTGCGCATTTGTAGGGGGATTTACCGGTACTTACTAGAATATTCTTGGGGATTCCCCGAGACTCGATTTATTCAGGAAAAAGGGCGATATATTTAGTATCCCTGTAGTATTGAGACAGGCGTTGTCTGTCGAATTCTATCCGTGTTTCGTTGTGCCCTTTCTATTAAAAAAATGTCTAGTAGGTGTTGTAAAAATAGGCCTGATGACTTTTGTTATATTTGTGGACACTTTATAGTGAAGAAGTTTAGAAGAAACATTACTGATTTCGTAAAAAATGCATATTTGGCATATTTTAAAGTCAGACTTAGAGATCAAGATAAACCTTGGGCCCACATGTTATCTGCAAGATTTGCGAAGAAGCCTTGAGGCATTGGTTTAAAGGAACAAAAAAAGCCCTACCGTTTGGAACACCAATGGTCTGGAGAGAACCTAAAAATCACATTGACGACCGCTATTTTTGTCTTTGTGATATTAAAGGTCATAACACAAAATCTCTAGAGTATATTAACTATCCTAATCTTTCATCTGCAACAAGACCAGTTCCACATGACGCTGATTTACCTGTACCTGTTCCACCTAAAGTATTAAGTCTATCAAATCAGAATCTTCAACTGATTCAGAAATTGATATTTTTGAGCCATCTACCTCCCCGTGAAGCGCAGCTATTTTCTCAAGTAGAACTGAATGACTTAGTCAGGGATTTGGGACTTCCAAAGGACCTCTCTGAGGTTTTAGAATCAAGGCTTAAAGAAAAAAAATTACTTGCTCCAGGTACTACATTTTATTGGTATAGAAATCGTGAGGCTGAATTTGTCAATTACTTTGCCACAGCTGGTTCACTTGTATATTGTCAAAATGTATCTGACTTGGTTATTCACCTAGGTGCTCCTGAATATACAATCCTGCCGAGTGGAGACTTTTTATAGACTCTTCAAAGAGAAGTCTTAAAGCTGTTCTACTTCATAATGGTAATTTATATGCATCTGTTCCTGTTGGTCATTCCACTCAGTTAAAAGAAAATTACGAAAATCTTGAGGTACTGCTTTTAAGAATAAACTACAGACAACATAACTGAATTCTATGTAACTTTAAAATTTTCGGGTTAATTTTAGGTCAACAATCCGGTTATACGAAATACCCATGTTTCCTATGTGAGTGGGACAGTAGAGCAAGAGATGACCACTGGACCAAAAAAAATTAATTTTATTACCCCCCTTACATACAAAATTGGGGCTGATGAAACAATATGTCAAAGCTCTAGAAAAAAATGGTGGTTGCTTAAGTACTTGTGTGAAACATTTCCGGGTCTCTCTGTAGCTAAATTAAAAGAAGGCATATTTGTTGGGCCACAAATAAGGTTGATGAAAACTAATGAAATTAAGACGGTTATGAAGGAAGACGAAAAAGAAGCATGGACAGCTTTTAAACAAGTTATAAATAAGTTTCGAGGAAATTACAAAGACCCTGAATTTGAAAGTATTGTTGAAAACATGTTGGACAAATTTAGAAAGTTAGGCTGTAATATGAGCTTAAAAATTCATTTTCTACATGCTCATCTTGACTATTTTCCGGATAATCTTGGCGATGTCAGTGAAGAGCAAGAAGAGTGTTTTCACCAGGACATAAAAGAGATGGAACGGCGATATCAAGGGCACTGGGATATCAAAATGATGGCCGACTACTGTTGGATGCTTAAAAGGGATCGTCCTACCGCAGAATATGCACGAAAAACAACAAAAAGAAGCTTTTCCGGAAAGAAAGATTTTTCAAGAAAACAAAGGATTAATATATGTTATTTTTTAACTACTTCCCTGGTTTTATTGTTTGTTTTCTTGGTTTATTATTTTCTTTTTTTTTCTTAAGTATCTATAAATATATTTTTACTTTTTGCATTCTTGTATTATTTTGTTTAAAAACCTTACGTGATAGAAAAAAACTAAAAGCAGATTTGAAATCAGCGTCACTGAGTATTTAAACGCCGGCCTGTGTAATTAATTAACAATTTTATATCCATAAACGGGTGAGTCTCTATGAAAACACAATTGTGCGATATCAGTCTTTCATAATAAGATAAACATGATCAAATTTAATAAAATATTTATTTATAATTTAAACAGGATACATTTTTTCTGTCAAAAAGTGACTAAAAATAGAGAACATAACAACCATGTTAAAAATAAACAATTTTAACAAATAATAGGATACAAACGGTCTTTTTTAAATTCTATTTAACATCATTTTGTAATTTTTTTTTTTTTAACAATGATCAATATAAACCAACAAAAAACTTTGCTCGATTCTATTTTGTTTTTTTAGTTTTTACTAATACTTTTACAAACCAATCACAGATTTAAATTAATTTCCATCATTAGTACAATCGACAGAAATAGCAAAAGGCGCAGCATGCATCAACTCGAATTAATTTTTTTTTGTTTAAATAAATTGCGATCCTAAAACATTAGAACAAGCAAATTTGACCGAGTTCTTGGACGTTTTTAAATTATCAGAAGCGTTAATTTTGGATAGTAGAGAATATATTTAATTGATTTTTATGTTGAACTTACCGAAAAATCAGTCAAAATTATTGAATATTTAGAGAGACTAACTTTAGAGAGACTCAGAAATAAACTTTACGAATCCTAATTATGAATCTGTTTTACTTAGCGGTGCCAATCAAAGAAATATTGTAAAAGAGTTGTAATTTAAAAAAAAATCAAAATATTATTAATAATTTAGATGAAAAATCTTCCATTTGTAACTTAGCTCAATATGTCTTCTACATATATTATCATGCTGGTCATAAGTACACAAATTCAACTTTTCTATTCTTTGCGCTTCAGCTAGATCTGCCATACTGTACTATAATACAATAAACAAGCCAGTTTTTAAAGAAAAATTACACAACTTTAACAATACATAACCAATCCCGATTAAAACCCTTAAAAAAACGAAAAAATAAATAAATTTAAGCACTTTGACCGTGCACGATTGCTTGAGCCTTTGTCATGACATCCATAGCACCTTTACCTATCAAGTCTTTAGCTAACATTTCTCCTAATTCTCTGGAAGCATTCATACCTTCAATGGTGGCTTGTTTATGAGCGACCAGTCCGCAAAATAACTTGTCACTTTCTTTTTCAAAATCCCCAGAACCTTCATCAATTTGGATTTTGTTATCAGGAATGTGTAGAACCTTTTTTTGCATGAAAGGACATTGGGATATATAGATATCGGTGGCTTCGCTAGAAGCACCTTCCAGTTGGGCTTCTAAATAAGGACATTTTCCCATGAAATCGGCACCCACCGGTATTTGTATTGGACAAACTTCATGCGGGTCGTTTTTTAGTAATTCTGTAGGTATGTCTAGAAGTTTAGGCTTCTTTAACGCTGGTTCATTGCTGTAAAGGAGTTTTGGTCCAATTAATAATATGAATAATAAAATTGAACTATATTTTCAATCAACAAGAAAATTAATCGATATAACTTTATAGGGTAGGCCACTAAAAATTTTAAACAAAAACATTCCGTTTCTCAATCAAATCATTATTATTCTCTCGTTATATGTTAAAATCACAGACATTTAGTGTAGATGTGTTTTTGTCGTTTATACACTGGAACACCTTGACCTTAAGGTAAGTGCACCAATAATTGACAGTGTTCCAGTAATTGACACTTGCTCAATTATTCTTCAAAATTAATAACATTAGACTATATATGAGAAATTTATCTTAAACATCGGTATTTTCAGAATATTTGGCAACCGTGTAGCCTACGTAACAGATGTTAGGTGGCACCACGGTCAGTTACAAAATGGTGAAAGGAGCATGTGCAGTGATAGAGTTAAGACATTTCATAAGGTCAGTATACCAAATTGAATATATCTACTTCTTATCACTTCATGTTAAATTTATTTAAACTATTCCTGGGGGTGTATTAAATAACACTGATGGGTTTTTACTGGTTTTTATGCATGTAAATCCTAAAACCTCATTTTTGTTAAAGTGTCAATAATTGGAACAAACAAAACCAGTATGTTCCAGTTATTGACATACCCTGTGAATCACTGGTCCACAAGCAAATACTGATATACACTGTTGTCATACTGTCTAAAAAGTCTGCAATATACCATTTAAATATGAGATCTAACAGCCTTTTGGTTCCAGCCATTGACAGGGGTGTCAATTATTGGTACAAGAAGTGTCAATAACTGGAACACGTTTTTTATTACAGTTATGGCACCTAAAAAAAATTATACAGAGGCTCAGTTGGGTGAAGCTCTTGCTGCTATAGCAAGAGGGATGCCAGTAGCTACAGCTGCTAAAACTTACTTTGTTCCACGAACAACGTTACTTTATAAATCGACAGGAAAGTTACCTATACATTGCCGAATGGGACCAAGTACCATCCTCACAAGCAATGAAGAAACTCTTGTCGAATAGTGGATACTTTCTCTAGCAAAAGTGCACCATCCAGTAGGCAAAGAGCAATTACTAGATAGTGTCCAGTTTATCGTTAAAGAAAGTAAACGACCAAACCCTTTCACTGATTCGAGACCAGGTCGAAAATGGTACGAGTCGTTTTTGAAAAGGCATCCAAATTTAAGCGAAAGAGTTGCACAAAATTTAACACCAGCCCACAAAAAAGTTACTGAACAACAATTGCGACAATGGTTTCGGGAAGTGAAAGAATACTTGCAGTCAAAAAATGTATTTGTCGCAACGGAGGATCCTTCCAGAGAATTCAACTCTGGTGAGAGTGCTTTTTTTCTCAACTAAAAGGTGATAAAATCCTTGCACGAAAAGTGGATAAAAGCGTGTACAATGCTGGAACCAACGACGAGAAAGAAAATTTAAATGTATTAGTCACCGCCAATGCCGCTGGAACACTAGCTCCTCCCATGGTGGTGTTTAAATATGAACGCATTCCAAGTCATGTAGCTGTCAGTATCAATAAAAGTTGGTGAATAGGCCGTTCCGAAAGTGGATGAAAGTGTGGAGCAACTTTTTTTGAATACATAACAAATGTGTTTGTACTATGGCTAGATAAGAAAAAAATTGATAGACCTATTATTATGTTGATTATTGATTGCACAAAAGAAAGCTATTCGAATAATAACTAAGGCTAATTTCAGGTACAGTTGTCGTCCACTTTTCAAAAAATTTGAAATTCTGACATGTGTAAATCAATGTATCTATGAATGTTTAATTTATGCAAAGAGGAATATTATTAACTTATGAACGCCTATAAAACAAGAAATATGTAAGTAATATTGCCATTTTATTCGACTAACAAGAAATCACAATTCTCTTCAATTTTTACATGTTAAGTTGTTTAATCTACTTCGCCTTGAGTGGCGCCTGCTTAATGAGATAAAATTTTCCAAAAAAATAAAAACTTTTCTGAAGGAGAATGTTTTCTATGATATCCATGAATTTTATCAACATTTTGAATAGACTTATATTTTATAATTTTTTAATTTGTTCTTCAGTCTATATGTATTGTAGTAATAGTCTTCAATTTATTGTAAATATTTTTGTTTTTATACTATTAGTGACATAAGTATTATATGTAATTGAAATTGACGAATGTATACAAAAATTTTTTTTTCTTAACATAATAAAAAGTAACAGTAACAGTATGTTTATTGACGAGAGATTGGCACATCGAAAATCAAGGAAAAATATTGCGAAAAGAAAATTTCGGAAAAGCGTTATCCAAAGTTACAGATAATTCAACATGGATTTAGGGCATGTGGACTTTAGCCGTTTAATGTAGAAAATGTAAAATTTTCAAAAATTTCAAACTCGTTGACAGAAGTTAATCAAACCAGAATAATAGAAGGGTTAGCAGTTTTGGAAAACTTTATTCCCTCAGAAAAATTAAAAAACTTTCGAACAAATTTTGATACTGCATGGACAGGTAATATGAAAGACGTGTCACTATTTAATGTATGGAACACAATAAAAAAAAATTTAAATAGAATCCGCTTTAGGTGCTGAACCATTAGAAAACATAAGTAAAAGTGAGAACCAAAATTGCAACAAAAAGAAAATGATCTTGTAGAAAACATATTAGACAACTCGAGACCAGGACCTTCTGGCCTTCAACAACAAAGAGTTGATTCTGATATGACCCCATTAAAAATTGTTATACATTCTGATGTCAATATTACACCTCCTACTGTATCACAAAGTGATAGATCTCCTTTAAATTCATTGGAAAATACAACGCCGTTCAATGTATTATCTTTAAAGAAACAAGTTCCCACTCCATTTAAAAAAGCCTTGTTTTGGCCGGAAGAAGTAAAAAACACAAAAAAAAAGAATAAAGAGCAAATTCCTTGTGCTATTACGTCAGAAATTTGGCAAAAATACCACATAAAAAAGGATTCTGAGAAAAGAGAAAACAAGAAAAACGGGCAGAAGAGAGAAAGCGAAAAAGGGAAGAAAAAATTATAAAAATACAAAACAAGGCTAAATCAGTAAAGAGGGAAAGTTCTGACAATTCATCAGAAAACGAAGAATGGATAGAAAGTGGAGACAGAATTGATGATGTCAGTATCAATTTAGAAAATGAAGAAGAGAACGAAATACCAATCAAATACGACGATATCCATGTAGGTGATTTTATTTTAGCGAAATTCTTAGGAGGAAAGAGAAAAACTTTTTTTATAGATATATCTGTGTGGTTCAGAAGAAATATTCCCGAAACGATATTGAAGTTATATCCCTTAAATCAACAAATGAAACGAATACCTTCAAACTTGTTGATAGTGATATTTCAACAATCAAGATAGAGGATATCATAAAAAAGTTATCCTAACCAGAACTACACAATGTCGGCGACTGAATAAAATATGTATTTTCAAAAAATATTGATATTTTTGAAGCCTAAAGCACCCATAAATTTTGTGTTATGAATTTGCTGTTTATTTTTATTTACTTAGTGTATTCAAAATTAAAAGTATAATAAAAAAAATCAAGTGTCAATGACTGGTACTTCAAAACACTTTTTTTATAATATTTATTTCATGAAAAGCAAAATTATTAGAACTAAAAATACATAACTAATGAACTCAAGAAACTATAAGCTACAAGAAAAAATTGTATTATATGCTTAAATTTTTTTGTTATTGGTGAAAATATTTATTTAATACAAATCAGTGTCTAATAGTGTCAATTATTGGTGCAGTTACCTTATATAGTTGATTTTTAACTGATTACCCCTAGAAAGATTTTTAAAAAATGATTAAAATAAATATAATTATCAATGATCCAAATTTGTTCATTCAAAAAAAAAAAAAAAAAAAATACATGGGAATGTACAGATGAGAAAAAATAACAAAATTATGAAAACACACTAAACATTTTTCCTCTAATTTAAAATCTAATTGTTTATGTAAATATTGTTGAATATCAATTATACACAAGTTTAAAAAAGATTCTAATATTGTAAAAATTATCATTAGTAACTCAATAAAGAACATTTATTATTATTTATAAATGTTGACCTACCTGTAACTTGGACATTTCCCACACTCCAAATTCTCAATATCCACAACAGGCTGCTTATTTCTATAAGGACAAGTAGCGCATCTCAAATCATTTCTCACCCTGATAGTCCTGCTATTGGAATCTGTTACTTCATCTTTACCGTCCAATGACCACACTGCACCTGTCAATACCAAATCATACTCGCTCTCATTGATTGCTTTGAGGCTGGAGCTAACTGCAACTGGAGCACTACAACCTCCTCCCAAAGTTCTCAAAAAACTACGCTCCGCCGTTACTCTTAGAGCTGTTTCTAAATCGTATAAAGGCTCTAATAGTTCTAGTATTGCTTCGTTGTCAGTCCTACATTCTACAGCTAGGGCTCCTTGGCCTACGGCGTACAGAAGTTCGTCTTCGGATAGTATTTTAGATATTCTATCTTTCCAACCTGTATAAATCATAGATATATAATACAGTATGTCTGAAAAAGTTGGCAACAAATAGGAAATTTATTTATTAATTTAATAAAACAAAAACTTCTTCATGACATGATTCCATGGCAAATTGTGAAATAAATACTAATTTTATTATTATTTTAAATTAATTCTACCATTATAAAAGGTACCTGATACTAACCTATTCTATTTAGACCCGCAGCAGCTAAAATAATAGCTTGATACTTTCCCAAATCGTCGAGTTTTTTCAGTCTGGTATTGAGGTTGCCTCGAATATTTTCCACCTTCAAATGTGGGTACTTTTTTGCTAATTGAGCAGCTCTTCTTAGACTTGAAGTACCTATGATGCTATTTTCTGGTAAATTTGAAAGAGTAAGAGACCTTTCCAGGTCTTTTTGGAGAACCAGAGCATCCCGAGGGTCTTCTCTAAATATAATTAATACAATTAACTGATTAAGAGGTTATTTGATATTATTTACCTTGTTAAAACTGCTCCTATTGCCATGCCTTGAGGTAAAGTCGTTGGTAGATCTTTTAAAGAATGTACCACAAAATCTACGCACCCTGTATGTAAAGCAGTCTCTAGTTCTTTGGTAAACAGTGATTTTTCACCTATTTTTGGCAGTGCTATGTCTAGAATTTTGTCACCCAAGGTATTCATGGTAACTAAAATTAAATTCGTTAATATAATTCTATTAATTAAGAGATTACTTACCTATTTCAAATTCTTTTTCAGGAAAACAAGTTTTCAGCAATGATATAACATGTTTCGTTTGTATAAGAGCTAGCTAAAAATGATACGTTTTTCATTAATTATAGTTAGATTCAACGATTTTAAATGCTTACTTCACTTTTTCGTGAACCAACACGTATTTTATTTTGATCTCCACTCATGTTTTTGAGTTTTTAAAGTTACAGTATTAACCTAAAATTTGCCATATCACTAAAAAATGTTCAACCTGAAAGAAAACATATGGGATCAAGTAGCCAGCAGTGTTGCCAGACTAAAATTTATTTCGACAAAAGATTGATAATACACACTAGATTCGAATGAATAAACATGAAATAAAAAAAAAAAGTATCCAAGTATGAAATAAATAAATTAAAAGTAAATGAAATACTAATAAAATAAATAAATATTTATATAAAAAAAAAATTAGACTTTTAAATTTACAAAAAGAAAAGCAAAATTTAGTGGATTTACTGATAAAACGCGAGATCTGAACACATTGTAAAGAGGTAAATAATCGATTTTTCTTTCGATTTCATCGATTCTGTCAAATTTTTTAGTACCTTGTTAGAGTTGACCATACACTACACAAATATTGAAGTATAAAGAAAACTAGAAAAGTCACAATACATATTCAAAAACCACTCTAAAGTTGTTTCACAAAGCTCTAGCATCAGTTGTCTTTATTTTTATATGATAAAATAGAGCCTCACCTTTAATAGAACAGCAAAAGATAAAAGCATTAATAAATACTTTTAAAATAAGCACTTGCTAGTTGTCATAGAATGATCTCAGTTGTGTTTAATGGTAAATATCTTTGAATACGATTCTGTTTGGTTATTTAAAAAATAATTCACTAATAATATTAAAAAAATGTATATTTTATCATTAGAACTATAATATAAATCGCACTTAATTTTATGAAATAAACAGCTTTTTCCTAAGCATAGTAAAATGGTCTAAATACTGATGAATAGTATCAATAGGAAAATAAATGTCCTGCATTTTGTTCTGCAAGTAAGCAGGCGGATTTGTGGGCGCAGCTGTTCCCAGGAATCCTTGTAAAAACTCTTTCATCAAGTCCCAACACATAGCGGGTACAACACAGGGTCGATATTCCACTTCTACCAATATTCCTTTACAATTACTACTAACAGTCACTGTACCAAGTTTCACACAAAAATCGCCTATTTCATACCTAAGTCCTTTGGATTCAACCTTGGTTTGCTTCTTAGAGGTATAAAAATGAGACATTTTCATCATAAGCAAATCGAATAAACCATCTGTAGCTAAAGATGTTATTTTAGTTCCATTATCTAGCAATGAAAACACTGTAGCAGGCTGTTCCGAATTATGCAACACGTGAACGGTCCTTTGGTGCCCTAATTGAGGCACAGACGTGTAAGTTTCACAATCTACTAAGAAATGCCCCTGTTGGACTGCTCCCAAAGCTGCTATCCTCTTAGACAGGACTTCTATTGTTTGAGGACCTGTTTTGTTGTCCAGGAAAAATTGTGATAAGATCGTTACACCCATTGACAATGTTTTATTTAATTTGTTTTTCTATATATTCTGCGAAAACGTTTAATAAACATAAACAACGAACACTGACAATTAAACTATTAAACTGTCATTGTCGTTTGTCATGTAACAATGCAGTGTTGCCAGTGCTTTTAATAAAAATCGTACTAAAACTGCCAAAAACGTACTAAATTTAAATAAATCTTCAAGTAACAAAACTCAAATCTGTGATAATTATTTTAATATATTTAAGTTTTTTGACTCCAAATGGACTACACTTAAGGTCTACTGTGCAGGCAATGGACTCAATAAAGTTAAAATAATTGAATATTAGAAAAGGCTTGTTCTGGGTTTCTTCCAATGAACTGTAACCCTAGTCTGTAACTGTTGTAACGGTATACAGTTCAGTGGTTTCTTCAAAATATACTGCAAATCTTCCGAGATCCAGTGGGACAGTTTAATATCAAATTAGGCGTTGCGTAAAACTTTTCAACTTTCCACTAGTCACCTAGTACTCGGACAGTTTTCAACAAATTTTTGAAGAACCAAAACAGACATAGAATATTCTAAAGCGCCTTTTGTACTAGATTTGCTGCGTTTGAATCTTCGAGTTTGAATATCCACAATCGATGCATTTTTTATATCTCGAGCGTTTGTTTAATTCACATCGGACATATCTACTACATCTACGTTTGTTTAAACTTCTAACTTGACAATGGGTCCTATCACAAAGCACATAGAGGTTCCACGTGAATGACCAAGGTCAAAACCGACAACTGACATTTTTTATGCTATTTGCTCCAAACTCTAGATGGGGCTACTGGTAAAATTCTGATTTCTTACTCCATTTTTAAGCTTTATGGGAGAAAAACTTAACCAAAGACTCCAAAGATGTGACGTGTATTTATTTATGTTTTTGGTTAATCTCATTTTTCCGTCTGATTTTAGTGATTTTTTGTTGGCTTTGGCTTTTGGTTTCTGTTTATAGTTTCGTCTTAGTTATTTGCAAAATTGTGATGTTTTGCTTTTCTATTTGCTACTGTGTTTTGCAATAATTTTGGTGCTACCTGTGGGTGCTACGTTGAAAACTTCGAGAAAAACTTATTGATTCACCATGCATCTGCATCATAAAAAGACAAACGGGTATAACAACTAATTGATAATCAATTTATCACTGGACTAGATTCCGAAATCATTTTTCACATAAGAGAGTAATACACAAAGCAGTGGAGTAATACCACCATCTGTATTTGGAAGGAAAATACCTATTTATCATTGAATGAATAGTTAAAATGATTCACCTTTTAATACAATACCTATATTACATTTGTCCTCGGTTTAAAAGACATTTATAAAATATATTATTTTAGTGTTAATAAAATGTAATATCCTAGTCTCTACTTCACATTTAAATTATTGATAGGTATTTTAAAGATTTGAGAGTAAGTATTCGTTAAATATGTATTATTATTTGTATTTATTTTTATCTAATAATATTTATTTAAGTTATTAATAAACATATTTTAAGAATGTTCTATTTGATTATTTATTGATATATCTTATATTTATTTAATAATAATATGCAGAACCAACTCTCCACATCAGACCCCTGCTTATAACAAATTAATTCCTCAAATTTGGTATAATCGACCTAAATTATTTTGTAAAATAAAAGTTTCGAACTTACTAGTTCCATTCTTTATTTTATAAAATAATTTATGTGGAAATCATTTAAAATTTAATTTAAAACTACTACCTAATCCTAAAAATTACAATTTGAATTTACCGCCATCTGTCAATTGTCATTTTAGTTCCAGCTCCAAACACAAGGTGGCGCTAATTTGGTTTAAAAGTTTAACATTGGCGTGGGGTCTCTAGAAGATACGTGCTTTGTGGGTCCTATGATTGAACGTTTACGTTATCCGTAACGTACATGTTAGGCCAAATTTTAAAAGTAACGAGGCAAGTTCTTATGATGGAAACCTGTTAAATTAGAACATAACAGGCGGAAAATAACAGTAATGTGTTAGAAAAAGTTTTCCATCGTACGAACTTGCCTTGTTACTGTTAAAACTCGGCCTAACATGTACGTTACGGATAACATAAACGTTCAATCATACGATCCATTGTCATCTTATCACGTGACCAATAAAGTCTAGAGCGTTTGTTTATTACGTGATAAAAAATTCACAACACCTCAGATGCATCCGATGTGGATATTCAAACGCAGCAATTTTAAAATAATATTTGTGCCAAAGCTGTATCAAATTAGCTTCGTTCGCGGTAACAATCTTGTACCAATTCCTAACGCTGAGGTAAAAATTTCACTGCATAATATTTATTATAACTGGATTTGTTGTATTGTTTAAATGTTTATGCAGGCGTGTATGGCCTACCTTAGAATCGGCACCGCGAACGGAACTGTGTAAAGAATCGATTTTTTTTAATCCCAGAGTTTGAATAATCGATTACTTTTAGCAAGTATAATGTTCCTGGCTAGATAGAGTATCAAATCCTGTATCCAGGAAACCTAGGAAACAAGATGTAAATAAATAACTTTCCTGAGAAACAGGAAAACATTTATAAATGTAAGAATTTATGCCGAAGCATTTCTAAAGAAATAATTTTAAATAGAGAAAAGTGTGACTACTTACCAGAAATTGGCGAATTCTACAAGTGAAAAGTTTTTTTAGGAGTAAGAATTCAAAAACTTTTATTCACATAAATTATTTATGTGAAATGGAGTTAATAGCAAAGCATTCAATATTTAGTGAGATCATGCAAAAAGATGTAGAATTTGAAACGAATAATAGACATTTGTGTGAAAAATATTTTAAAATATGGAAAAACGTCGTCGAAGCGAAAATAGAACAGAAACGCAACAAAGAACTAATAAAAAGACAAAGAAAAAAATTAAATACATTTCTAACGAAAGTAAAAAAACACAAGGCAAACGTGAAAATAAAATATAAAGCGGATGATGAATTTTCGAAAAAATATAAAAAATACGCGACTGTAAGTCCGGAATCTAACAGGAGTTACGAAAACAGTTTCAAAGCGCAAAAAACGATAATCGAGATGCAGAAAACAAGATTAGAAGAGCAAAATAGGATAATTCAAGATTTAAAATTGGGTATAATGACTGAAGACCTAGAAAAATCTATAGCGAAATCGAAAATGAACATTCGCGAGATATTCACAAATTGTTCGACAGAAACTAAAATTAAAATACCAATTTTATTGGTGGAGGAACCAAAAATTTCAATAAGCACCCAAAAAGCTCCGAAAATTTTACAGGAAATGCAAGAGAAAGCCGTAAAAAGGGCCGAAAACAGACAACAAATACTAGAAAGAAAGAGACTGATTGAGGAAATGCGCCAGAAAATGCTAACCCAAGCGATGGAAAATAAAAAAAACGTTAGACGAAGAGAAAAAAGCACACATTTTGGATATGATAAAAGAAAATAGAAGGAAACAACTGGAAATGCAGCAAATTAGACAAACAAATAAACGAATTTTCTTAGCAAAATGGAACAGGAGTGTTGAATTTTACAACAAACGTTTGATTATGACTTGTTTTCGGAAATTATATAGTAATTTGGAAAGGTAAGTTAGTTTGTTTTATGGTTTTTTAAGCTATTTCATAGATTTTATCGCGGGCTTTGAGCGCGGCGACCGAATCAAGAAATTCCGTAACGAAAAATCGAATAATCGACTAATCGAAAATTCGAAAAATCGTAAAATCAAAAACTCGAAAAAGAAATTCCGTAACGAAAATAAACCTAACACCCCCCACTCCGACTGGCACAGCGGTGCGGCGTTGAAAGCCGTCATCGTCTAACGTCGTTTCAGTTCGGCAGACTTTAGCACGGTGTTTGTGTGCGTGCGACTAGACGTATGCGTGTAGACTAGCTGCTAACTGCGGTATTTTCCAGATATTTAGAGGATATCAAGTCTCAAACTTATGTTTCTTATTTCAGTTACCATAAACCTATAGTTTCAATGATAAAAATTTCTGAATAACCTACATGTATTGTAAGATAATAAAAATATTTTAAACAATATTAACTTCTCATTTATTCAATAAAAGAAAAAAATTGTTTTCTTATCGGTCACCACGCTCAAAAAGTGTAACTTGAATATCAAAGAAAAAATACTGCATAAATAAAATAAATAAATAAATATAATTAAAGTTGATAAAAAATGCTATGCAATAGCTTTACCGCGGCAGTCCCCGAGTGCCACACGTATTTTTTTTATCATAATTATAGTTAAATGGTGTTCACATAAAAATGAGTCAAACAATTTAAACTATTTGAGTTTTTAATAACTTCTAACAACTCGAGAACTTTTTTCGGAGGGTAATATTATTCAACACACATGGAATTTTGCATGATGCATAAGTGCAATGAAAGTCTAGATTTTTACAACGCATCTTATTTACAGATGATTTGACATTTTCATTGCATAGAAAATACAATTCACAAAAGTTAAATATTTGGACTGGAATTTTTGATGACCGTATCATAGGTCCCCATTTATTGACGGGAACCTAAACGGTGTCAAATATTTAGATTTACTTCAAGAATAGATTGTTTCGGCAGTTCAGTAACTGCCTGTTAATTTTGGAGATGTTTGATTTTAACAAGTCGGTTGTCCAAGTTGGATTTTTTATTGTTGAGTTTTAGAAATTTTAATTTCTCGTGATTTTAAAACGAATACATAAAATGGCTAAAACGGACCTGCAAAGGCACTTTGTGCGCAATCTCAATCTCACCAGTAGGTACTCCTGTGAGGTATTGCGCGAATTCAATTTAGCTTACTTTTGTTAATACGGATTGTTATTCCATTTAAAATTGTGTATTGATAAAATAGTCGTTATACGTAGTATTTTTTCTTTATTTGAGTTTTTTCCAGGTCTCGAGGAAATGACTGTTTAGCTGGCCACCATTACAAAAATACTTTACTAAAAAATTGCATCAACGCTTGGATCGTCCTAGTGGAAGACAGTTACAAAATAAAAACCGAGATAGCTGATGAACATTTTAAATATAAAACACTAAAAAGAAGTTTCGCTATTTGGTGCGAGTTTCGTCTAGAAACCGTTAGAAATATGCAAGTAGCTGAAGATATTTACGATTTGAGATTGACGAGCAACGTATTTATTCATTGGAATCGTTATACATGTCTACAATTTATGCAACAGCAGAGGAAAATACAAAAAGCTGATAAACATTACGGGCGGTGGCTTTTGTTTCGCTGTTTCTATCAATGGAAGTCCTTGAAGATTGTCGTCCAACTCGAAAAAGCGAAAGATTTGAAAAAAGAACGTTGGCGTCAAAAAGTTTGGGAAGTTTTGCCCGATTATCAACCGCCCATTGATTGGTAATACATTTTTCTATATTCCATGTACAACAATGAAACAAATATTCTTTGTAAAATAGTTTAATGATTGTAAACTTTTATTAATTTTATTAAAATACTTGTAGCTGTAAAATTGACTATTATTTTCGCACCAATAGAAATGTATTAATTTTATAATTACTTTAAAGGTATCTCAACAAACTAAGTAGTTTGGAATCTAATCGAGAAATGGTTAAAAAATCCTAGTGCGTTAAAAACAAGCTTTAAAAATCACATGCGATAAAAAATGGCGTGTGGTAAAAACCGCTTGTGGTAAAATAAAAAAACTGCGTGCGATAAAAAACCACATACGCATCTCGTCAATGTTCATTTTTGACTTTGCTGTAGAATTTTCTCTTTCATTAGTTGCGTTTTCGGCTCTTAAAGCTTTCTCTTGTATTTCCTGTAAAATTTCACGGTGCTTCTTGTGTACTTACTGAAATTGTTGGTTCCTCCACCAATAAAATTGGTATTAGTTCTTTGTTTCATCTGTTCTATTTTGAAGATAACTCAAGAAACCAAGTAGTTCGAAATCCAGTCGACAACTCACAAATTCAGGATATAGTAATAATCCAAGTACGTAAAAAACAGGTGGTAAAAAACGTGAGCGGTAAAAAAACGCAAGCGGTAAAAAGGCCGCGAGCGGTAAAAAACTGCCAGCGGTAAAAAAAACCGCATGCGATAAAAACCGCATACGCATCTCGTCAATGATTATTTTATATTTTGCTATAGATTTTTCTCTTTCTAGTATTAGTTGTGATTTCAGATCTTCTTACGACTTTTGAATTTCTAATAAAATTTCCGAAGCTTTTTGTGTACTTATTGAAATTTTTGGTTCCGCCACCAATAAAATTAGTATTTTATTAGTTCTTTGTTTCGTCTGTTCTATTTTGAAGATATCTCAACGAACCAAATAGTTTGGAATCTAGTCGAGGAGACTTACAAAATAGAGGATACGTTAAAAAATCCTACTGCGTTAAAAAAGGCGGTAAAAACACCCGCGAGCAGTAAAAAACGCAAGCAGCAAAAAAATGAAAGCGGTAAAAAACCGCGAGCAGTAAAAAACCGCTAGCGATAAAAAACCGCGAGTTGCAAAAAAAAAACCCTTGCGGTAAAAAACCGCAAGCGAAAAAAAAACCGCAAGCGAAAAAAAAACCGCAAACGAAAAAAACCGCGAGCGCCATAAAACAGCGAGCGGTCAAAAAACGCGAGCGATAAAAAACGCAAGCGGCAAAAAAATTCAAGCGGTAAAAAACCACGAGCGGCATAGAACCGCGAGCGGTAAAAAACAGCTAGCAGTAAAAAATCGCGAGCGGTAAAAAACCGCGAGTTGCAAAAAAAAACACGTGCGGTAAAAAACCGCAAACGATAAAAAACCGAAAACGATAAAAAACCGCAAGCGATAAAAAACCGCAAACGAAAAAAACCGCGAGCGCCATAAAACAGCGAGCGGTCAAAAAACGCGAGCGATAAAAAACGCAAGCGGCAAAAAATTCAAGCGGTAAAAAACCGCAAGCGGCATAGTACCGCGAGCGGTAAAAAACAGCTAGTGGTAAAAAACCACGAGCGGTAAAAACAGTAAACGGTAAAAAACCGCATACGCATCTGTCAATGTTTATTTTGACTTTGTTACAGATTTTTGTTTTTCTAATATTAGTTGTCTATTTTTGGCTTTCACTTTTTTTTGATTTTCTTGTAAAATTTTCGGAGCGTTTTGTGTACTTATTGAAATTTTTCGTTCTGCCACCAATAAAATTGATATTTTTTTAGTTCTTTGTTTCATCTGTTCCATTTTTAAGATATCTCAACAAACCAAGTAGTTCGGAATCTAGTCGACGAGACTTACAAACCCTGCATGCAATAAAAACCGCGTACGGTAAAAAAACCGCGAGCAGTAAAAAACGGTAGCGGTGAAAAAACCGTGTTCGATAAAAAAACACCGCATACGCATCTCGTTAATGATTATTTTCTATTTTGCTAGTGTTAATTGTCGGTTTTCGGCATTTTACGACTCTCTGTTGCATTTCCTGTAAACATTTTGGAAGCGTTGTGAGTTTTTGGTTCCGTCACTAATAAAATTAATGGATTAAACGACTTACCTGTAAGGAAGTTCAATTCAAATTATACTTCACTGCTGGGACCCAATATATCCATAATATATAGATGTTTAGAGATCGACAGCGATCGTAATCTCGGTAAAAACCGCGTGCGGTAAAAAATAGCTTGCTGTAAAAAATCTCGACGGTAATTAACCGTTAAAAACATTTTTGGATGTCAAAAAAGGACGAGATAAAAAAAATTGTTGTTTTTTATTTATTTAGATAAATAGATACATATTACGAATTGAGAAGAGCTCTGGTTTACATATTTTTAAAATATCAGAATAGATAAATACAAAAAAAAAGGTAAAAATGTTCTCATTTTTAAACCACACTACTATTTATTAATTCTCATAAAAATAGTTATTTATTTTTTTGATTTTAACCGAACAATTTCTTTGAACTCGTAGTATTTTTTTGTACACTTCTATTGTAATTACATAATAGTAGCTAATATAACAATATTTCATTCAGTTTTTTTTTTACAATATAAAAATATATTGTGTATTATGTGTGAATAAGGCAAAATGTAACTAAAATTTAGGAGAGAATACTTATATAACCCTGTGTGTTACATCATAAGTTTTTCATAAGGTAGAAAATATTCACCAAAGATCTAGGTTTACTTAAGTTATATACACAAATATTTAATGAATATTTCTTAAACTCAAGACTCTTTAAAATACCATTCCCTCAATATTTACCACCTGCTCCCTACCAGAAAGGTAGCTCTCTAATAATATTAATGCAGTGTCATGAATTCCAATCTGATTCAGTTTTTTTTTTAAATTTCCTATGAACATTTTAGTTTTGATGCTTACAGTAATCTGCATAACATAAATAGCAATAGTGGTTAATAATACTCGATCTGAGTTACTGGGTCATAAATTTATCTAATCTATAGGCCAAGTACGGAATTATTGATTAGAAAATTATTTTTTCAACGGTACAGCATGAAATTGACTAAATAAAACAAATAGAAAAAAAAAGCTCGGTTTTACCATTGAGCATGCTTTGTTAATAAGTGTATATTAAAATTATATTTAGTCGTTCTTATCAGGCCCGACGAGAGGGTGAGCAGGGGGGAGGGCAAAATCCCCGGGGCTCGGCAGCTTTAGTAGCTGAGGTGTTTTTTTGTATGAAAGTCTTGGGTCTTAGAAGTAAGAACCACGAAAATTTGAAATAAAGATACTGGACGGGAGATGGAACGGGAGGGAGGGAAGAGAAGGGGGAACGGGAAAGGGAGGAAAGAAGGTGGGACGGGAGAGGGAGGCGATAAGGGGAACAAGAGGAGAAGGAGAGAAGGGGGAACGGAAAGGTGAAAGGCGGACGGGAGGGGGAGGAGAGAAGGGGGAAAGGGAAGGGGAAAGGCTGACGGGAGTGGAAAGGGGAACGGAAGGGGAAACGGGAAAGGGAGGGAAAAGAGGGATGGGAGGGAAGTGGAAGATTGTATGGGAGTAACGTAAAAATAAATAAAAATAATATTTAAATAAAAATAATGAATAAAAATAATAAATAAATGTTAAATCCAAATTATAAACTTCTATGACAAATTTTAAACAGTTCCTTTGATAAACCTAGACGAATGGTCGAATAGAAAATTTTGCCAAAGTGAATACATTCGTTTTGACACCAAATCTTAAGTCTAAAAAACTCTTATGCCACATCGACATCGATCAGTTTTACATATAGAATTTTAAAAATATGACAACGTGGTCTTTTTTCGAACTGAATTTTTGAAAGGTGGCCATTCCGAAAAAAACGTAATTTTATTTAAATTTTTACGTTTTTCGAAAAAATGGCGCTCAGCTGTTTTAGTGGAATTCAGTCTTAAACATATATTTTATATATATAAATTATTACGATATCAAATATCCTATACAACAATATTTATTATATTTTAATTCTTTTTTTTAATTTTTAAACAAACTAATAGTGATATGTTAAATTTTTGCAATTTAGTAGATACTTACCTGTAATAGGTATGTATAAGGACCGGTTCATCGAAAATTTTTCTTGCATCAATCCTGAACCAATACCAATACTATTATTTGTTAAAATGAAATTTAAATAATAGGTTTGTTCCAGTAGCAGTTTGTGTTCCAATGACAAATGAAAGTGACAGTAGATTTATTAAATTTAATTTCTATTCTTTTCAAAATAGATCACTCTGTATATCATATTTATTATATATAATCCGCCATTAATTACTACTAACAAAAACTTTATCTACATGTGCAGGAACAAACCTACTCTAAAAAAATAATAACTAGAATGTTTTAAAAAAAAAAAATAATACATTTTTTTATCCGAAATTTACATATAACGTATAATCTTGAATTGATTACGTACCTACATATTATAAAACATCAGGTGGTCTTATATCTAAATAACAATATGTATTTTGTTATAAATATGGCAAAATACTTCGGTATATATGTCAGAAATGTTCGTATCGTTTTCAAATATTGATATCAATAAATCTTCGTGATATTTTCTTATTCAAAAATCTTTAATCAAATTGATGGTCCCTGTAGCCAGCGTAATACTAGAAATGAATTATTATTTTTTTCTTTTTAGATACTTTCTCTAAAAATCAAAAATATAAACTAGGTAATACCTACTTCGATAAAGAAGTCCCTATATAATATATGCGTCAATGCAAAAATTTATTTTACAAAAAACGAATATATAATTAATCGTTTGAAGGAATTTAGTTTGGTAAACATGAAGAAATATACCTCACGAATGCTTTCACAACTATTTCTAAAATGTTTGATTCATGATGTTAAATAATTATTCGTACAATCGAAGAAATAAAATAGTTGTATTTGAATTAAGCAAATTTAAAAAGTAAAAACCGTTTCAAGAAAATTTATGTTTATAT